ATGAGTCAGTGGAGCTGTGGCTCAGGGGGCATCAGGGGTCATAGATGATTTCCATCAAATGTTACGTGTGGTCCATTAAATGTTTATAAAGATTGACGACACATCTCCACCATACATTTTCAGAAAGAGTGGTTATGATATTCCTCTGGAAACAGTGAGATAAAGCATCTTCAGAGCTAAAGCCATGTTTACAATCAGAGTACAATCAGCTCTCTGCAAAGCTTTTGAAGAAAAAGAAAAAAAAAAGCTTCCCAGTGCTGTTTGTCTAAAGCCTTTATAATATCCTTAACTTCTTTTTTATTGCCACTCAGTCAGCCGCCACATTACAAAATCATCCTTTTATGATCATATTATGGGTTGAGTTTTATCCTGACTGATAGAGCTCATAGGAGTCTTCGGTCAGAAATATTCTGGGAAAACATCAAGCCAGTTATTAATCATTTATGTGTTGTTTCTGGGGAAGCATTTTTTTTTTTTTTATCAAGCGGTACACTTGTTTATATGACAAAGCTTCTTTGCCTTTGTGTGTGGAGGATGTAACATTGCATTTAAATTGTCTAGGCTAATGCTTACAGCAGGAAATACACTTAGAATACAATAAGTTCCCAAATAAATTGAGTCTGAGGGAGTAGTGACGACTTCAGTTCCTCTTCCCTTTGTACTTCTTCGTAAGGTGCATGACACACTTCTCTATAGCCGTGACACAGACAGAGAGAAAGGTCACTACTGACATCGTGTTGGTTTATGTTATAAAAAATAAAATGCCTGACTCATGAGGATTGGTTGAAGATATATCACTGATGTTAAGAAAAGGACTCCTTTTAATACTCAACAGGTACCATTTCTTGTTTGTGTATCATATCTGATTTAAGGAGAATATTCCCTCACACAGTGGTGAACAGATGTAATTGAACTGTAATGCTGGAGCCTGAAACATTACTGTACATGGATCGTGTGGATGTGAATCATGCAAAAGGGTTGAAATACAAGTTCTGCATTAACAATTTTCCCACACAGACACACGTAAGGTATGGTTTATTGTTGGAACAACATGATGGCAATCTGTGGTTTTCATATCTGCAAATCTGCACTCCCACTCTGAGACAGCGGAGAAAACTGATTGCTGACACTTATCAAGACATTGTTAGGCAATGCAGATAATTGCAGATATGCAAACATCATTTGTGCCCACATGCATAATGATCATTCGAAGGCCGAAGGCATATTTAAATTATAAGTAAAATACATTGAGGTAGCAACAAGATACAAAGAGATATGATCCATAAAAGCAGATAAAAGGATGCTGCTGCATTTTCTAATTTCACATCCTTAAGTGTGTAATGCTTCTTTTTGATCTGAGAAGTGAGGCAACAAAACATAAAAATGATAAAAAACCACAATTTCAAGGATGTGTTATATTTATTTAACATTGCACTTAACAGAGCTATGCTTGTTACACTCAAATGCTATCTGTGGACACAGTTTTGCTTTGAGCTCAGTGCTAACTTTAACATGCTAACATGCTTTAATATGACAATGCTAAAATGCTGATATGAAACAGTGATGTTTACCATGTTCAGTGTTTCAGTTGAGCGTCTTAGCATGCTGACATTATGTCAACATAACGGGGTCAACTTTACATTTTAATTTGTATGTTTTGTAGCCTGACATTTTTGCATTTGGCTCGCATGTTGGAATTGTATTTTTGGCTTCATAGTGAATTGGATATTTACGTCCTTTTTTTTCTGCAACCACATACAGTAGGTCTAATTTAATGTAATATTTGTCATGCAAAATTCATCTGACCTATTTGTGATTAGTTAGTCAACAATCATCATCTGGTGTTAGCTAGCGGCTAAACCATGAGAGGAGGATTATTTTAGTCCGTTTTTTCGTCTTGAGGACTAAGGTCACTTCAAACATATTCAGCAGTGGGCGAGTTCACGGACAAGGGGAAACGTTGCAGAGTAAACAGCGCTAGAGTAAAGCCCTGGTGGACTAGATCTTACACCGCGAGAGGGTGGCACCAGACCAGTTGCCATGGAAACAAGGATTGATTCATGAGTTGGGGGTCTTCAGAAGCTCAGGAATATGTGATTTGTTCAAGGTGGTGAGTGATAAGTGTCCAAGTTCAGCCCGCGCTGTGTGTTGGTGGAGAGCAGGAGTGTTTCTGGCAGATCCTGGTGGTTCAGTTTTATTGTTGGAACAACATGATGGCAATCTGTGGTTTTTTTTCCTGAAAAAGGAACCTGCTGCCAAAAATCTGCACTCCCACTCCGAGACAGCGGAGAAAACTGATTGCTTACACTTATCAAGACATTGTTAAGCAATGCAGATGATTGCAGATATACAAACATCATTTGTGCCCACATGCATAATGATCATTTGAAGGCTCCCACATGCATGAGCAGGGTATTAATGTCAGCAGCTGTGCCGTCACTCTAACAGTACACAGAGACTGCTCTATGTGAACCAGTGTTTTATGCATGCATGGGAATAGGAAGGGATATTGTCATTAAACTGACATGCAAGACAGCAGTGCAGCAAAAGTGCGATGGCACTCCCTGAGGTAAACTACATACATACATTTAAGACATCAAAGCAAAATTAACATTATAAACAGTATAGAAAGGAGTCAATAAAGCCACAAAATGTAAAGTTTAACAAGCATTAGCCATTAGCTTTAGTATTAGCAAGCAATACTAAATGGGGATGTGCTTAGTGTGATCAAATTATCACAATTACTGAATAGCTGGTGCCAAAAATCTGACTTTTAATGAATACAAAGCTCTAAACAGATATCCAAGCCAACTTAGCTCACTGTGACACTCCTTCATGACTAATGTGATCAGAAGTTAATATGCTAAAGAAGAAGACGACAGTGGGATAAAAGAAGATGAACAAGACAGCTGGATATTTTGTATTTTTCCGTTAATCAGATATCATGATGTATCATATGATTGCAATGTATCAGAATCGCTGTATCGTGGTATTAACGTTATCCTTGGTCATGTATTGCATTGTATTGTAGTGACTACTATAGAGAGTTACCCTGCTATTCCCACCCCTAATGTTATTGTTGATGTAAATGGTTAGAAACATGAAGCAATAAATCTTTTAGTGCTCCACCGCAAAAGCTCTGTCTTCATCCAATCGTCTGCACTCTTCAGTGTCTGCTGCTGGAAACAGTTTTCCTGCACTGATATAATTGAAAATAATGAGAAAACAGGAAACTGAAGCCAGTGTTATAAGTTATGAAATGCTGTCCCACACACCATTCAACTATTACAGCTTAGAGGGTGGCTGTGGCTCAGTGGTAGAGTTGGTTGTCACTTAACTGGATGGTCAGTGGCTTGATCACCACCTCCACATGTCCGATGTGTCCTCAGGCAAGACACTTAACACCAAGTTGCTCCGGCTGCTTCATTAGCGGCATTTGAATGTGTATGAATGGGGTGATGGCCTCGTTACAGTGCAGCCTCTGCCGTCACTGTGTGAATGGGTAGAAGTGACCTGCAGTGTCAAAGTGCTTTGAGTAGTCAGAAAACTAGAAAAAGTGCTTTACTCAAGCCCATTTAGCATTTACATGCTACCAAGGCTAATACAACCCCTTTGGATCTTATCACCCCCTGAATGAACACAAAGGTCTGAGAGAAACCGGCTTCACTGCTGTGAGCAACACTTCCTGCTAACAGTGGCCGACTCAAATGTCACCCAGTGTTTTCTAGATGATTTAGCTGCAGATGAAAACCTCAATCCACATAAACGTAGCTCGACAACAGGATTGAAACTTTCCCATGACCTCTGATGGTGAAAACATTTACTCATCATGTATATTTAAACAGACCTTTTAAAGTCCTGTAACAGCCAAACGTCTCGCTGATGTATTGCGAGACAAAGTGTGAGGACAAGGAAGGGAAACAATGATTTTTTTGTGACTTCCTCACTTTACTGTTTAGCATTTTTATGTTGAGTCGTGTGTGTGTGTGTGTGTGTGTGTGTGTGTGTGTGTGTGTACGTGGAGCTCTTCTGGTAGCAGCTCTGCACCGCTGCACCTGCTCTGTAGGCTGCAGGCGCGAGAGACGAGATGCATGAGAAAAAAGCTAGACAGGAAGAAGCCTTGTACCTTATTGAGAGCGACGGAGGTTTCAGCTCGGGTTGATTGACGTCAGTTTGGTCAAAGACCGGGCTTTGGTAACAAATGGGGGACCGAAACTGGCTGATCTTTACGTGAAACAAAAACATTTTTGTTGGTGAGTTGCTTGCAAAACTTTTAACACTGAGTTGTATTTCGTCTAAAAAAGGGAAGCACACATTTGTACTCTACGGAACAATTTTGCATTTCTATTAGTAACTCTAAACCTCCTTTGACATGGCTAAACTGAAACCGTCTCCACAGCTGATCAGAAATAATTGATCTGTAGTTATTTATGATTCTGTTGCTGCTATTTATGTATTCTTTTAAATATTGGTGCAGGAGTAAAGAAACAAAAAAAACTGTACGTGTGTGTTTGTGTGTGAACGTGTGTGTGTGAGGGTGAGAGATTGTTACACTTATTCCTCTTGCATGTTGGCACACACTCAGTGAGCCAGGAAGGCCCCCCTCCCCTGTGTTAATGCTGTCTATTGTGAGCGTGTGCAGGCTGGACGTGGTGAGCCTTTGGTCCGCTATGATACTATTTCGGGAAACTATGGAACGGAAAGTGTGTAAAGGAAAGAGTAATAATGAAAGAAAACAGAAAAGCAGAGGCACAAGGCATTACTCAACAACAAAACACACGTCACACCTGCTCACCGCTTCATTTTTTGGCATTTCGAGCTTGTTTATCGAAGCCTTTTTTTTTTGCTACAAAGTGATTCTGTGCACTCACCGTCAAGCTGTTATGGGGTTGAATATAAAGCTGTCGATGAGGAAAATGGCAATGTGGTTGAATAATGTGAAAGATAGTGTTAAACAAATACTTTTCTTCTCCTTTTTTTTTTTTTTTTTTTTTCTGCAGGTGGCCAGTGGACCAGAGCAAAAGGGAAGCAGCAGGCACTGACGAGTGCAGACGAATAGATGCCATGTTAGGAGGGTTTATAAAGACAGAGCCTCTCTTACACAGAGGACACAAAGTCAGGCTCCAGTGATGACCCTCGCATCCTTACCCTGCAGGAAGGAGCACCCCACGACTGGAACACCACCAAAACACACACGCGTACACCTGCAGCAAAACTATGATACGTATTCTCTCAAATCTTGTCACTCGTTAAGGACTTGTTGACTTGTTCAGCGCCTCACACAGACGTCTATGGGAGCTCCAAAGGGTTGAGAAAGTTCAGGCGTCTTAAGTGGTGTGAACGAGTTCTGTATTCGCTGCTATCGCTCGGCTGTGTTTTTCATCTTCTTGCACAGCACTCCTGTTTCACACCAGCGCCACAGAGACCAGGACACAGATTTAACTGGGAGTTACAGGAAGCGCCGGAGAAAAAAAAACGCTGCAGAAAGTGGAGTCAGTTTTTCTTAGGGCACCATGCAGTCAGATGATCTCTTCATCCGCAAGTTCCGCCGTCAGAACATGCGGCCGCCTATTGCTACGGTTAACTTTGATCACAAACGCGAAGCCAGTGTGGTGGAGTGGCCGCCCAGGAGGGAGGCCGATGGAGCCGACGGAGACAGCCTCACTCCGAGCCGTGTAGGGCTTACCCTTCGATCCGTGGGCCGGGGTCACATCATGCAGAGAAGCAACAGCGATGTAACTTTAGGGGACTTGGACTCCTCCGGAAAGGCTGGGGGCAAAGCAGCTCGGGTGGTTGGCGAGAAAGCAGGTGTGGGGGCTCAGGGGGACTCGGGTCTGCACAGGGAATACGGCAGTTTGTCCTCACTGGAGAGACAGACTCAACTGCTGGAGGGAATCTCTGCAGACCAGGGGCCCCTGAGTCCAAACCAACTCCGTTTCAAAGACCCTTTCCTGCTTTTAGGACTGCAGGGAAATCCTCCAGAGCCTGACGGGTTCTTTAGGGGGTTGTCTCTTTCCACGGGGGACTCCCCAAAACCTGCAAAGCCACCGAAGCCTGAAGGTCTGGGTAAGAAGAGCAAACCCGTGCCCCCTCAGATCCCCCAACCAGGCCCGTATGATAACATCGGGGGCGGAGCCTGGGTGAGGAACTTTGCCCACTACGACGTTCAGAGCATCCTGTTTGACCTCACAGAGGCGGCCACGAACCGGGACAGCATCGGACGGAAAAAGAACATCACATCCGGGGCTTCTGCTGCCTCCCAGCTGAGGCCCCTCTCCCAGGCCACCCCGTCTTCACCCGCACAGGGCGGGGGAGGCAACGGGGGGAACGCAGACGACCCCGAGCAGTCGCTGCTGCTGGACGAAGGCGACGGCAACGATAACGAGCTCCTGCTTAGTTGCCCGCACTTCCGCAATGAGACTGGAGGAGAGGAGCAGGTGGGTCTGGGCAGATCCCAGGAGAGGTCAAGTCTGCGGACGCCCAACGATGCGGTGTCAGTCCTGGAGGAGCCCAGAGAGAGTCATGTCCAACAGCAGGGCAAGAGCAACTACTTCATAGAGCACGCAGACCTGGGGGCCCATTACTATCGCAAATATTTCTACATGAAAGGTACGTGAAGCACAAGGAGTCTTTAGCTCTGGTTGACTTTGTTTATTCCGTGTCAGTGTTGGAGTCATATCACGCCGATTAAAATCAAGTCTGTCCCGCTTGTGGCGGCGGTTAAGCACAGTGGTCAGAGTTCACATCTGATGTACAAAAGGCCTAATCCTCACCACACTGGGTACGACCCTCAGGAGCCCTTTGGTGCATGTCATTACTGCTCTCTCGTCCCCATATATTCTCACGCCATCGTATGTCCCAACAAATGAAGGAAAAGGTCAAAAAATGATCTTAAAAAAACAGAAAAGGTCTGTTCAGCTTAAAAAAGAATATAAGTGAGCTTTTTCTTCTTCACAGTAAGGAATGAGGAAGTATGTTTCTTTTAACTTACAGCCTGGGTGTGTTTTCATTTACAGCCTCTTGGTTTTGCTGTATAAATAGACATCACAGATTTACCTTTTGAGTATGCCCCGTCTGTCATACGCTGAGGAAAACTAGCCTGGCAAATCTCTGAGATCATTCTCTATTGAGTGGGTTTAAGTTTCATATCGGTGTTTCTTATAGCCAAGATTGCTGATGATGTGGAACGTCCTGATTCTCACATGTTGTCGGTGTTTAACAAACTGCATGTTGTTCAGTCCTGTCATGCCAATAGTGTACAACATTGAATTTGAAGCCTTTAAAAAAAATGGATGTCTGAACTATGTACCCAGCCCGGCATCATAAAGCTATGTCCAACATGTTGCTGCTCTGATTGGTCGTTGCATCCAGGAGTATTTTGCTCTGGGACAGTTCATAACTCCCATCTGAAGTTTACAGAATAAATGACATTTGTGAATTTGGTGTGGTGACTCCAGGCTAAAGGCTCAACAGTCCTGCTGTACTCTGGCTTTCTATTTTTTTATTATTTGTTTTATTTTACAGAAAATTCTTGAATAAGGATAGTGCAGATTTTAATTCATTACCATTACAAATAACAGACCCACATACACTAACAACATGATTTGTCCCTTGGCTAATTATTTAAAAGCTTTTAAAACATTAATTAATACATCTTTTTTATTTTGGCTTGTATATTCTATAGTTTGAAAGTTAAATATAGGATCCCCCTAATTTGTTTCATTCAGTGCCTTATCTGCACCGTATTTGAATTCTAAGTGGGCCACAGTTTTATGTCCTCGTGCAACACTACCATTCATGTTCTTCACAGCTGTGTTCATGTGACTCTGTTGTCATCACAGAACACCAGAATTTCTTCGGTATGGATGATCGCCTCGGGCCAGTTGCAATCAGTTTCCGTCGCGAGGAGAAGGAAGGATCCAGCGGCGCTCAGTACAACTACAGAATCATCTTTCGCACCACCGAGGTAAACCAGCTCTTTCCTCTTTCTTCAAAGCTCTCCTCTCGTTCGGTGAGAGTAAAAAATGGACACGGCTGGATGTGATGACTGTGACTTGTCTCCTCAGATGAAGACACTGCGAGGTTCCATCCTGGAGGAGTCAGTGCCTTCTGCCGCTCGACACACGACCCCCCGAGGCTTGTCTCCGAAGAGGCTGCTCGAGTTCATCATGCCTGAGCTGAACCTGCACTGCCTGCGCTTAGCTTCAAACTCCCCTAAGGTCCGAGACACCCTGCTGAAGCTCGACGAACAGGGGGTGAGTAAGAAAACATCTGCTGACGCTAAAGACTGCCATATTGGAAAAGATGGCTCCATCTAAGTACTGGCTAATACAAAAGCAGACAAAGAGGTGGAGCTGAAGTAGTAAATATTATTCAAGTAGACTGAGTGACACTCATTGGTTTCTGAAGGGCTTTTGGAAAGCCTATCCAGAGCGGTCTCCATATTGGATATACGACTCATATAAACATTCAGACGACCGATTGACAGGCAAAGAGCTGGAGTGGAGGCGGGGCTTAAGCCTCCTGACGAACCACCACAATGCGGCAGCTTGTTGAGGACGTCATGCTCCTAATTATGCATAACACTTATCATTAATGAAATAAAAATTGGTGAGTTAATAAAGGTCACCCCCCCGTATAGTGTGTCCCATTAAAGACACTGAGCAATAGTAGCAAAATCTTTGTTAGTGCCAGACTGTAAACATGTAAACTTCTACTGTCAAAATGGACATTTAAATGTTGGGTTTGGCCAACCTCAAGCTGACACTCGAGGAACTAGAGTTTTTGCACTTCTGCATTTGGCTTCAAGGACAGGGGAGTTACTTTATACTGTTTAAACAGTGAGCTATATTGTCCTCTACGTCTGCAACCATTTCTCCTATTTTTTGTATGATGTTACATTTTAATGAGTAACACTTTTTGCACAGTAAAAAGTCCAAGATGTCCCTTGTGTTGGTCTGGATTTCATTTGAACTGTTTTCTACAGCGCTGTTTTAATGCAAGACATGTTCTGTGGTCTGTGTTTTCTTTTGGTTCCTTTTATCTGAAATTGTTTGAAATCTTTGAGCGTTTTTTTTTTTTTTTTAGTATATCAATGATTCATTTGTCCATCTTTAGTTAAGTTAATAATTCAAAGTGTTCAAACTAACGGCATGTGTTCTCAGGGCTTAATCTGCCTCACTTAAAATGAGTAAACTAGATCATCTTTACAACCTTATAGGCATTAAAACCTTCAAGTTTTCAAAAGTAAAAGATCAAAAAAACGATCAACATAAACTCTGGTTTTGAATCATTTAAGAATCTGAACTCTGGCTTAAAAAGCTGAAATAATTTAACAGAGCTCATAGTTTAATGCTTGCTGTCTCAAAAAAAAAAAACCCATATCTAGCTGTAAAGTTACATCTCAAAATCCTCACTGTAACCTCCAGAGGATGCTATGAATGAATAATAAACTCCGTCTTCTATTGCAGCTGAATTTCCAGCGAAAGGTTGGCGTGATGTACTGCCGGGCCGGGCAAAGCTCAGAGGAGGACATGTACAATAACGAGAGCTCGGGGCCGGCGTTCGAGGAGTTTCTGGATCTGCTCGGGGAGCGGGTGCGCCTGAAGGGCTGGGAGAAATACCGAGCTCAGCTGGACAACAAGAGTGAGCTGAAAACACACACCATGCCTCCGATCTATTGGCTGGATCTCACCTTGTCGCCATTATCCGAAGGGCATCTGAAAGCCTGAGATAGCTGCTATCTCGCCTCATGTAATCTGAGTAATGCCTGTAAAAGAGCATAGTCACTGCTGATTATCGGCGAGCTGTTTTCTCTTCAGTGAGCAGCAGAGACAGTAAATAGGACACATTTCACCCCGACTCTGACAGCTTGAGTTTATTCTGCCATTCAGAGACGTTGACGGATTTTGCTTAATCTCTTTGTGTGCGACGTGTGTGTATTTACGTGTGCGTCTTTTTCCTTATGCAGCGGACTCAACTGGGACGCACTCGCTCTACACGCGCTACCAGGACTACGAGATAATGTTCCATGTGTCCACGATGCTGCCCTACACAGCCAACAACACTCAGCAGGTAACATGAACCCAAAGGTGTTTTTTATTTGTGTCGAAGGAGAATTTCTGCTGCAAAATCTGTGCACACAGAAGGATAACGTTCTCTAATGTTTCAGCTTTAATCCTATAGAAATGTGTCAGTCTTGTTACAACCTGCATCTCTGTTGGTACAGACGGGTTTTGATAGATGCTTTAGAAGGAGCTTCTGGCGTCGCAACAAGCATGACATGAAAATCCTGCCCCCCAGTGTTCACTCCCACCACGAAGGCATTCACTCCAGCCTGTCTGCTTATTGTACGCATTAGACATGAAATGTTGAAATAGATTTAAGGGTAGGCTTAAAATACACATAGCCGTGTTAAAGACCTGAGTTTGCTTCTCGGTGGTGACAGCTCAAAACGTGTTAGTTTCAGTTGAATAATTCAGTTTATCGTGTCTTAGGGCTTCTGTGATCCAGTTTCAGCTCCATTTTTCTCCTCTAACATTTTTCTCTTCAGGAAATCTTCTGTTTTATGTAATACATTTTTTTTTTTAAACATTTTTCAAGACTGTGTACAGTCATTTTTGAAGATTGAGTTTTGATCCAAGCAGCAGCAGTTTAAGCTTTTTTTGAGTTCAATCTGGTTATTTTAGCGCTTGTGTTATTTCATCAGCTTTAGCTACATGACATCAACGCTTGCTTTTTTAAAAAGGGACAGCCTTTATTTGAAATGACAGCTTTGACCGCAGCTCTTTGAATATTGATTATTGTTCATTTTGAGCCTCACTGGTTGTTGCTATGGATGTGTACACAAACGTGTCTTTTCCTTGCTCTGTCAGTTGCTGAGGAAGCGACACATCGGTAACGACATCGTGACAATCGTGTTCCAGGAGCCCGGCGCCCTGCCCTTCACGCCAAAGTCGATCCGCTCCCACTTCCAACACGTCTTCATCATCATACAGGTTCACGAGCCCTGTACCGAAAACACCTACTACAGGTCTGTGATCATCTAATCTGTTGCCCTCAGTTCAAAATATACAAATCTTTTCCCACGCTCCAAAGAGACCTGACACTTTTTGTTAGACGAGTCGTCATGGCCATGCTGCCATTTAATGCTGCCATAAGATATTAATGATCTCAAAAATGTTATGAAAGATCCTTTCTTTAATGAAAATACATAAAACTTGTTCATAGCGAGCAAAGAGTTTACATCACTGCAGAATCTTCAGTGTCAATGTTTGTTGTTCTAGAGAGTATTACACAACAGGAAATAAATAGTCTCTGCTGTATTGTCTCTCTTACTTTGTCACTCTTCTCTTTCTCTCTCTCTCTCTCTCTCTCTCAGGGTGGCTGTGACTCGCTCTAAAGACATGCCATTGTTTGGTCCGCTGTTCCCTAAGGGCGCCCGCTTTCCTCGCTCGCCCGCCTTGAGAGACTTTCTCCTGGCGAAGGCGGTGAACGCTGAAAACGCTGCGGAGAAGTCGGAGAAGTTTCGCTCCATGGCCACGCGCACGCGGCAGGAGTACCTGAAGGACCTGGCGGAAAACTACGTCACCACCACGCCCATCGACTCCTCCACCAAATTCCCCCTGCTCTCTCTGGGAGGGAAGCGCAAAGACAAGCTGAAGGGCGCCAAAGGGGCCGAGCTGCACAGTGCCGGGGCGCTGGTGTGGGCCGTGATGGTCAACAGCGGGGGGGAGGATTGCGAGGTGGGGGAGCACAAGCTGCCCTGTCTGCTGGGGGTGTCCGCCGAGTCAGTGGTGCTCATAGAGAGGTGCACTCGCAGGGTGGTGTTTAACTGCTCCTGTCGAGATGTCATCGGGTGGAAGGCGGTGACGGAGGCGAAAGACGGCGGGCCGTGTTTGGATATCTACTACGAGCGAGGGGAGTCGGTGTCAATCAGTGCGATGGAGAGCCAGGCGGAGGACATCAAAGAGGTGGTGCAGAGACTAGAGGTGGGTGATTGGGATTGGAAATTCATGGGTGATATTGCAAAACATATGATGACCGTGACGTTTTCTACATCAACATAGATATTTATCACAATATAAATCTTGGAAGTGGTGCCAGTTTGAGAAGTTTGAGAAGTTTCATCAGAAACCAAAATGTTGTTCAGTTAAACTCAACATGTGCCAAAACCTATTTTTAAGACTGTATTTTTCCAAGTTGGTGAATTAAATCCAGTGAAATCACTTAATCATTTTCCTTAAAACATCTCTATGATGCTTTTACAAGGTTTTTAATGGGAGTTTATTAAAAACAGAACTTTGGACTTCCTACCTACTGTATGTGTATTTTTCGGCCAATTAATTCTCATTCATGTTTATATAAAATCTCCACTGTGAGGAGTCATAACATAGTGACCCAGTGAGTCCCATTATGTAGAGACATCTGTTTTAATTTAAATATTAATATTTAGCACAAAGGGATTATTGTATCACATAAGCATGGACCACAATATGTCACCCCATTGATATTTTGCCTTAACCCTGGTGCTGGTAATACAAACAAATGTGTTCTCTCTTTATGTGAAAACAGTGTATATAACCTTCTGTGTATGGATTCATTAACTGTAGAGGACCCCTCCTCTTTCAAACAAATGAACCAGGTGATTTAAACACAGTTCAAATTAGTTCCTCGGGACCTTTTCAATCGTGCTTCTTTGCAGGCTTTGCAGGATTTGTTGACCCCCTAAAGGTTGCTCATGTCTGATTCGGTATAGCTCCTTTCATATTGGAATATACTCACAAATTGACAATAATACATTTTTGTAAGACTGCACATTACAGCAATGAAAAATAATATTTCTCTTCTTCTCCCCTGCAGCTGGTGACCCGGGGTTGCGAGGCTTTTGAGGTCACCCCCCTGCGCGACGGGGTCGGGCAGCCGGGTTTCCTCATGAACGAGGAGGGCTTCGTGACGGACCTGCAGAGGTTCTGCTACGCCGAGAGCGGAGGCTTGCAGCTTTGGGCTCGCGTGGTGCGGCTCTGCGGACACTCGTTGGTTCACCTGAGCTCAGAGGAGAGGACCAGGCTGCTCCGCACCGCGCACAAGATCCACATCACTGTCATCCCACCGGACGAGAACGGGAAGCCTCGCAGGTGGGTGACGCGGAGGAGGAGGGGGGAGAGCGCTAACAAGGGCACGTTTGGGTCAGCAGACTCAAAGTAAGACTGGAGAAGGGGCTCGTGGGTATACAGCGTGCTGCAGAAAGGGAAGAGATGTCCCACAGAGGGGCTGACGGAGAGGTTGAAAAGGGAGTAAGGAGGAGCGGGTTAGTGGGACAAGACGGTAGAAAAACACGAGAGGTGTCACGGCTCGCTCTGCGGTGTTGAGCGGCTTGCTGTCTGTGTCACTACAACTGACTCCCAACTAATCAATCCCCCTAATGATCTTTAATCCCTCTGACACACATCGTCCAGCACGCTCTCCACCCAGCTGAAGTCAGACAGACGGCACAAACAGAGAAGTTAAAGTAAACAAGTACGTTTAAAACAAACAAATAAAGCTGTTCACTTCTTCAGTTCTTGTCCTTAAAGATGCATTTCAAAGCTGGCAGCAGAATCATCCTCAGAGAACTCCCCCTGCTTTATTTATACTCACTTCTGAAATGCTTGTTCCGTGACAACAAAGCGCAAATTGTCACAAAGACGTCTTCATGGAAAATGGAGACTGTGATTTCAAAGGAATATGAAATGAAGCGCAGACAAATATAGCTCTTTTTTTTTTCTATCTAATCTTTGTTTTTGGCGTCGACATTAATTCATGACTCAACAGTTTAATAAGAAAAGAGACGGCGATTAAATTCTTCCGACTATGTTTGTTGTTTTTTTTATGATCTGCAGAAGTTTCTCTGAGCTCTACCAGAAAGCCATTAAAGACGCCGAGTGTAAACCCGGTGAGGATCAGTCTGGAGAGGCCTGGGTGCTGGATGAAAGGGAAGAAGAAGAAGAAGAGGAGGAGGAGGAGGAGGAGGAAGAAGAGGAGGAGGAAGAGGTGAAAGTGGAGGACAAGCTGAAGGCTGGCGGGGTCGATGAAGTGGATATGATGGAGATGGAGGCCGAGGAGGGCGAAGGGCAACTGTGTGATAAGGGGCAAAGTGAGAGGAGTCACAGCTCGCTCCTCATACCGCCCAGCTTACCTTTGTTACGGGCCACTTCCCTGCAGGACCAACCAGCCAATCAGAGCGAGGAGAATGGCGGCCCGCAGCTCACACGCAGCTGCTCATTGGAGAGGACATCTTACGGGGATACAAGCGATGGGTGAGTGTTGATCAAGCAACAATATCTGGTGTTGAAAGATGGAAGCTAAGGCGGAAGTGCGAAAAAAAAAAGGGGGGTTCCTTGAGTGTCAAAGAAAACCAAAAACATTAAAGTCCAAATTAAAAATGATCATTTTGACAGCAGAAATAAATCTCTACAGCACATTTATTTTTTGTTCCAAACTGATTAGGTTAGATTTTTTTGCTTTTCATAACTCATCAGTTTTTTAAGTTTTGCATGATTGGGCATGAAAAGGGGCGGGGCTTATTTCACCGACAAGCTAGGCCTCACTTTGGCTGCATTCTGTTACTGCACTTAAACGCTTGCCGTCTTTTGGGTTGTTTTCATTGTTCTGAATGAACGAGCTAAAGCCAGATGGGCCTGTTTCAGCCACCAAGATATTCGATTGGCCCGCATCGCCTCCACTTTTTTGCCAGTTTCTTGCTTGGCCGTAAGTTATACATGGAGTCCGCATTTCCAATATGGTAAACAGCCATTGTTGGGCTCCATTCATTCATTCGTCTCAACCTTAATTAATACTTGAGAGATCATTGAGGGGCAACCCTCATTGACAATGACATCAAGTCATTACAGTATCAATTAAAAGACAGACAATAAAACATTAAAAGACCCAGCAGACGGATGAATTCAAGGCCACTAAAATGAACAAACTGAGTCATTTCTAAGAAGCTGAGACAATCAAGAGTGTAAGAAAAAGTCTCACATTTATTCAGATAATTAAGCGAGAAGGAAACTTCTGTTTGGGGCTGCACGGTGGTGCAGTGGTTAGCGCTGGTCTCACAGCAAGGAGGTTCCTGGTTCTAATCCCTGCGGGACAGGGTTCTCTCTGTGTGGAGTTTGCATGTTCTCCCTGTGTATGCGTGGGTTCTCTCCAAGTCATCCAGCTTCCTCCCACAGTCCAAAGACATGCTCTTTAGGTTAACTGGTGACTCGAAATTGGCCCGTAGGTGTGAATGTGAGTGTGGCTGATTGTCTGTATGTCAGTCCTGTGATTGACTGGGGAACAGTCCAGGGTGTGCCCCGCTTTTCGCCCAATGAAAATCCGCTCCAGCCCCCTGCAACCCTGAACGGGAAGAGCGATGTAGATAATGGATGGATGGATGGATGGAAACCTTTTAATCCAGAGGTTGGGAGGTTTAAAATTCGGTTTCTAAAATGACCAAAAGCTACAAGTTAATTGCGCTAAAGGAGATGTTGTATCTTTTTCCAAGAGTCAGGTGCAGACTAAGAAAAAGCAGACTTTCCTAGTTCTGATCCGACTCGATGAACATTCAGTGGTGATTGGTTTGAGGAATGTATGAGTTCTGTTAAGTATGATGGTCATTTTCCTACGAGAGCTTTATAAATAATAAATATTCCAATGCATTTCACGTCTCTGTGAGAGAGAACCACCCAACCTTGTTGTACAAGACACAATGATGTTTATCACAGGCGTCGCCGGGAAATAAATCTTAACACAGAATGGTAGATGGAGTGGAGACGTGTAAGGGTTGTGGCAGGTGCACGCCTTTCAGATAACTTCACCAGAGTCCACGTGTCATAAAAAAACACACTCCACAACCCTCTTCCTACAGAACAGAAAAATAACTTTATTTCTGTTGAAAAAAAGCAAGAGTCTTTCCAGAACACCTTTTTAGAAACCAATGGATGACGAAACTGTTCATGTACTTCAGAATTTTCTTGTTTCACTGGTTCTTTCATGGAAAAAGATAAACATAGAGCAAATAAAAAGAAACAAAGCTTTGCAATGTGTTGTAATTATTCTAGTAAGTGCTGCACATTGGGAGAGCATCAGGTAAAAGAGCTCCTAAATCATCCAACATGGCTGAAAATATCCTCGAGCTGAAGCTGACTCATCACAATTTAATCTCTGAGTCAGTGCGTCACTTTTCCTGCAAAGGACGAGTCACAGAGAGAGAGAGAGGACAAGAGGAAGAGAGCGTCACCGAAGTGTGCTCACTTAATGCCTAAGTTCTATAATTAAAATCTTTAATATTACAAAAAGAAAATCCCTTAGGTGTTCATTCTTTTCATTTGAAACCTTTGACACCTCGCTCACTGGATGGCAGATCTTCAACTCTTCAATATTAAAACAAAGTTAAATGACAAGACTACAATAAGTGAGAGAGGACAAAGCATTTCTATCTATTCACTTTTATTTTCTGTTGAGTAAGGAGGTCCTTCCTAAAGTAACTTTCTCCAATAAGTGAGAAACATGTGAGCAGCAGGACATGTGTGTGTTTTCAGGCTCACTGGTTAGTTTCACCTCCAGAACTAAAAAGAGAAAAAAAAGGCATCAGCTTGAGGAGGAAATTGTGCATGAAGAAAATATTCATGAGGATGATATTAAACTCTGCAGCTCTCCAAAAAAATGAATTAGACTGCTTTTTATTGTCACAGGACACAGAACTGAATAATTGAAGTGAAACTGCATCAGATATGATATTTCTGACGGATCATTTTGTGAGCGCAGAATTACAAACATCAATCAGGCCTAAACCCAAGCCGTTCCTGGAGAGATTACTTTTCTGCTGCTTTCTGTTTTTGACCTCTAGATTGAAAAAAAAAAAAAAAAAAAAAATGTCACAAAGCATCAACAGCAGATTTAGGTTGTGTGTTTTTTTGTTTTTTTTTGCACTTCTGACAGGCACGTGTACGACAACGTGGGGCTGAAGGGCGACCGACACATTTACGAGAATGTGGGCGAGCTGAGAGACGCCACGCCTGATCTCATCCTGGCCGTCAAACCCAAAACTCCCCTGGAGGACGAACAGGTGATGGACTGAGACGTAAAGAGCATCTGATTGGTTTCTCCCCAGCACGCCGTCTCCTCTCTTGACGCTGTCGTTTCTCCTCTGTGTCTCCAGTTCATGTCGGCCGACTTTGGCGATGACAGAGCTTCTGCGAGTGACTCTTCCTCCCGGTTGTCGTGTGTGGACCGAGCTGAAAGGAACTCACGAGCCCTGAGTCTTCATAACTCCATCACCAAGAGTAAGAACTTCCCTTTTCCTGCTGTTTCTTTTTTTTTTGCAATGAAATCAATGTAATTAAAATATTTATAATCCCTAAACAAAGGGCATGGTAGCCGCGTGTGAAACAAAAAAGAGAACAAGGAGGTTTTTCTGACCCTGATTACACAAAACAAAGCTCCCCTCTGTCACACAGCCGCTGACACGAACTCTTAAATGAAGCCAAAACGGAACAATTACACATGTTTGCAAATCATCTCTGCGTGATTTAAGCCTCAAATTCCTTTTTTTCCCCCAGATTTTCTCTGCCCTTAAAGCCCCTCTCTTCATTATCCTCCCTCTGCTCCCCTCTGCATCCCCTTTGTCCCTCCTCTTTTATCTCTGCTGCCCCCTTTCCCACTAATCTAATATCACCCCTGCTCTGCTGCCACCCCCTGCCATGCCCGGGATAAAAGGGGGACAGATGGGTGGTGGGAGGGGTGGAGTTTTAGGCAGCCCCAAATCAAGGAGCCCCTCTTACACCATCTGCTCGGCCTCCGCTGAGACTATGAGACTCATCGTTTAAGCTCCAGAAGAGCGCACTGCTCATCCTCTCATTAGATTCTTCTGATTTTTTGTTTGTGGGGGCGACATCTAATACATCTGATTGTTTGAAATCATGTTCTTTCAAAGGAAGTGTCAGGGTCATGGAAAGCACTTCAGTTTATTAAACTCAAAGATGGGATTCTGAACGTTAAAAGATCTTAAAAAGGAGCAGTTGACGCATCCTTAATGTCATTTTTAAATGTTTTGATCAGACATTCATGCAAGATTTAACCCAATCTCTGTTCGTCTAACAGTTTTCTTTCCACCTACGGTATTTCAGAGTCGTGCTGCCTTAGATTCCAGCATAGTGAGTGTTAACATTTCTTACAAAGTCAGATTCATAATTCAGTGAAAACTGTCTGAATGTGACAGTAAACACAACTTGTCCTCCTAACCCTCTGGCCCTGAGTTTGATCAGCTGTAACACAGCAGCGCCCCCCGGTGGTGGCTCTTTGTTATTGTGGACACAGCTGCTACATGATATTCGAACGCTTTTAGACAAGAACGCTTGAGCTCCACCTCAACCTCTCTCTTTCTCTCAGTTCTCTCAGAGACGACGGATACGACGGAGGAGGAGTGGCAGTCCATAGCTGACCTGGCCACAGCCTGCCGCAGCATCCTGGAGGCGCTGTCACGAGAGGGTGAGGGACTATTTATATGTTCACACCTCATTTACTGTACAAACGATTATCTTATAAAGTAATGTTTTCCCTCTAATGGAGTGGAAAAGGGATGCATTGCTTTAACAAAACATGAACAAAAGTCTGTTGACACCGCTGGCTCTATACTTTTTGTTTGAGGCTGATTTTCATGGATTGGGTCCCTTGTTTCAGATTTTATGATATTTTCAGATAAAATTGAAATATAACCTTACTGTAGGCGTTTCAAGTTTACTTTTCCCATATGAAAAAAGTGAAACCCATAAGGATCTGAGTTTTGCACAGACCTTAAACCAGACTAAACACCTTTGAGATGATGTCGATTTATCACCTGTGCTCTTGTGACTGAATATACATTTGTGCACTGCTTGTTTCTGCAATCTTGTGCATAGTTATGAAACAAGAAGACTGCAGGCTGTAAGAGCAGGAAATTAGATATTAAGATATTCGATGTGTAATCTTCAGGTGTCATCATACTTTTGCACATATAGCGTTTATTAAAGAAAAGACGGACGATTTTTTTTTTTTACACACAAGTGACTCTAAACACTTCCAGACTTCATCTCCATCACCTGTTCTTGTATTTGTGTGTAAATATTGACACTAATGTGGATCATTTCTCATCCCAAAGACCGTAAAGCTGGAGACCAAGGCGGAGCTGACCAGACAGACGGCAAGCTAAAAGACTCAAAAGACAGGTGGGTTGCTTTACGGTAGTGTGAAGCAAAGACTGTCGTTTTTTTTCTAGGTTTTCTTTAGTCTTGACTATGGCACACATCCCTTTGCTCCGCTCTGCTCTTTAATCCTCTCCTGAGTCTTCATACTTTATCGGCTACATATGACTGTTTTGTTTCAGTGTAATGCCTTCTCTCCTCCTCCTCCTCCTCGTGCTGACTCAGTGATGCACCTCTGAGCTTTCCAACACACATACAGGCATCATGTCTGACTCACTGTCATTGTCATCTTTCTGTAAAACTCCCACTCCACTTTGTTTTACTTTCTTATCTACTTTAGCTCCGTGTTGCCTTATTTGTTCTTACTCCTCTCCTCCAGGCTGCGTCGAAAAAAATTAAACTGTTGATCAAAAGAAAATGTGTGGATAAAAAAATGAGCAACCACCGACGTAAAGCTTGTTATCAGTCCAAGTCTGCTGTTTTTATTCACTTCTATTATGTCATCATGCACTCGTACTGTAGAGGTCAGCATTGATGACTGTTTCACCAATGAGGCTCCGGCACTTTTGCAGTACTCAGTGTGCTGTACAGCTCTGTGCAGGAGTATGTTTGTGTGAAACTGGACTGTTCCCCAAGATGTTCTTATTGTAACAATTATCACAACATTAGAAAAATAAATATGTCATCTGTTGAAAATGTATTTACCTCTGTTCATAGCTGAATGACAGAGAGACACTGTGATTATATTCTGAGACTGTATAAAAATACGGTCAGCGAGTTTTAGCACTTTTGGATAACTTGGAAGAAGCAGCTGTAAACCAATCTGGAATCAATCAACCAATTAATTCATCTTTATTTGTATAGCGCCAATTCATAACAAATGTTCTCTCAAGACACTTTACATAAGAGCAGATAAAAGACCTCAATGTTATATTATAAAGACCCAACATTGATCCTTCATGAGCGCAGCACTAAGCAACATTTAGCAAAGTTACAGTGTCAAGAAAAAAAACGTCCTTTTAAGAGGCACAAATCTTGGGCAACACAAGACTCATGATGAACAGATCTGCCGAAACTGTGCTGATACAAGACTCTGACTAATCATTCAAATGAGATTTAACGTAATTGTACACGTACATTAATAAAGCAAATGGCTAAACACAAGGACAGCAAAGACAGATACTAATAATACATATTTAACTATCAACTTCGTTAACTAAATTTATATATTTAAGAGGAACAAGACTAGCTGAGAATTTGATCAGGAACGGTCCTGTATTATGTCATTTTCTTTCTAAAGCTTCATTATTCTTTTTTAAAAAAAAATTTAATTTATTTTGGGGCTTTTTGTGCCTTTAATGGAGAGGCAGGACAGTGGATCCGGGAGAGAGAGTGGGGAATGACATGCGGGAAAAGGAGCCACAGGTGGTATTCGAACCTGGGCCGCCCGCTTGGAGGACCACAGCCTCCATACATGGGGTGTGCGCGCTAACCACTGCGCCCCTCATTACTCTTTTTATAGCACCAGGAGACCGCATGTGTCCCTATCTGTGGACAGAAGCAATGCATCATGGGATGCCAATAGAATGGTTAGCAATTACTGTAAATTGATCTGTGAGAATAACAGGTTACATTAAAGACAGCAGGGACTCTGCGGAGCTGTGAGGTTGCCACAGTGACACACAAGTCAACGACCAATCAGCAAATAGGAAAGTTGAAGCTGTATGAGATGATGAGAGCGGTTGTAACTGACTAATGTAAAGCCAGTGAAGACTTTCTTTGATTTGTTTTCAGCTAGTTGATTCTTTTCTGTTTTAAACTTTGATTGCTGAAATTGTGAAGTTGTGTGCTGGCTTCCTGACGAAGTGTGACTGCGTATCTTTGTTGCAGTGACTCTCCAGGCCACCTAGAGGAGAAAGTGTCGCAGCTGGAAGCCATGCTGAAGAAGCTGCAGGATGACCTGCAAAAGGTGCTTTGACTTTCATGAATGTTTGTCTCTGTAATATATTTTTCAGTGAGCTCCAGGGCAGAGTCAGCAGGTAGGAAAAAAGTATTTCAGTTTTTTTTGTTTTTTTCTGTTTTTTTTTGTTTTCTGGAGCGAGACAACTTGTATTTTCTGATGCAAACATGTTGTTTACGTGTGCAAATCCCCCTGTCCATTCAGCATGTCCAATCACAGCTGACTTACAGGCATTCAATACAACAAACACTTGTTTATTTATTTAGCATTTGATTGTAAATTTGTACAGGACGCTTTGTAGATTTTTTGAATATTCAAATATGATATTTAAATTGTATTTATGTCAACTCTTCAAATGCTGTCATTAGTATTTTCTAATTCTATTTCAACTCAACTTCACTTTGTAATTGGTGTTTATTTGAAATGGAGAATACTGTATGTGTCGGACGTTAGAATAAACACAAAGACCACTTGTGAGTAGAGTTAGTCGCTCCACTTTAGACAAGTGGACTTTGTGTTTAGAACTGTTGATTGTAAATGGTGTATGTGTTTCTGTGTTCTTCATATTATATAAACATATTATTTATGACGATCCAATGGAACCTTTTCTATTTATTTTAAATCACTCATAAGGACTGCAAGTACACTTTTTTTAATTTTTCAATTTATCTGTTAAAATATTTTTCTAATCACATTATTATTTAAATCTACATACTGTCAAAAATGATGATACCATCTACATTTAGTGGTGCAGCAATTAGTTTATAAATGGATTATTTGATCAGCAAAAACATCAAATAAAGAATCATTTTGTTAATTGAGCATTTGTATGTTATATTGAAATAGCAACATTCAAACATTCTCTGATTCCAGCTACTCAGATTTCAAGAAGTTCTACTTTTCTACCGAAGCCCTGATGGACATGTATCTATCCATTTTATTAAACATGTTCTGACTAGTAACTCCATTTGTTTCCCCCAAGATCTCGTCGCCCGAGAAAACATTTAAAATGAACTAATCTCAAGGGGAAAACGGGGAAATGTATGGATGCATGTCCAATAAGGGCTTCCATACTTTTCTGTGTTTGTAGACAGTGCGTTTTAATATCTTCAGGTTTTTGATTGTTGTTTTGACAGAACAAGCAATTTAAAGACGACACCTTAAGCTTTTTGTAATGGGAAAATGTCCTTTTATTTACATTGAACAGTGAAAACAGATTTTTCAAAGATGACATAATCATTAAGTGCAGCCCTGTATCTATTACAGGGGATACGATGCTTGGTCAGTCTTTTCAGCAGCATAAAACCCTAAAGCAAAGACTCCTCTGTCATTTAGAGTTTGTCGCTTCAGACAATTACTGTTTCTGTTTTCCCCACTGCAGTGAGCTTTTCTACACTGTTTGTGTTGTTTTTATTTCAAGCTCTGTATTTATGTGTGCCCACTAGTTACCTTAAAGCCACCGCTGTACCTGTCGCTCCCCTCCCGTTCCTGCCACAGCGATCTGAGCGACGGCTTTTGTTTTGTTGTGTGCCGATGTCTTTCAGGAGAAAGAGGACAAGGCGGTGCTGCAGGCCGAGGTGCAGAGCCTCCGGCAGAACAACCAGCGGCTGCAGGAGGAGTCTCAGAGCACGGTGGCTCGCCTCATCAAAGTCACCGAGCTGCTGTGCAACGTCAACAAGCCCTGTTAGAGCCGACGCTGCATGCACAATAACACACAAATCAGCAGAGAGATGCAAACTCGCACAACACGATTGTGCGTTCGGTATACTCATTTTTTCTCTTACATATTTGCAAAATCTAGACAAACGCACACGTATCCTCCTCAATGTGTGTGATCACAGTCTCAATCCTGAATCCTGGACCTGCCTGCTGGTGAGAAAGTATGCAAATCAACTCATAAAAAAGACAACAAAAAAAAAGGACAATTTCAACATCCCATGACCTTCACAGACTGACCAGTGTGCAGCTCTGAGGCTGTTGGGTTGGTTTGCTATGCCAGAGTGCTTCTCTATTCGTGCAATGGATGGATGTGTGCGCAGCATGTGTGTGTGCGTGTCTGTGTGTGTGTGCATCTCTTACTGTACCTTGCTTAAATACTTGACAAGCTGGGCTGAATAGCACTTGCATAAGAAAGTTGCAATTAAGACTGAGAGACACTGTATAGCATGTTGGGTGGTGTCTTATCTGAAATGACCAAAAGTGTAAATATATATCACCAATAATATATGTGAACAGTAGTGTTGCTATCCTCTCTGCCAGACGTGTAGTCGCAGTGTGTGAGTGTGGCGCTGATAATGTGGGAGAGCTGTGTAACAAAATACAAAAAAAAAGGGAACGTGACAGTGACGAGGCCTGTAGACGGCCTTCTACTTCAAAAGATGTAATGATGGTGACTGAGTTGCCTCAGAGTGAGGTCTGTTACGTAAGGACATCATCCTCTGCCCTCTTCTTCTCTCACAAGTACTGTATTTTATGAAATGCTGAAGTTAAAAGGGAGAAGATTTTAAAAACACAAGTTTAAAAAAAGGACATAAACGGGAATTCCCTCTGAGAGAAAAAAAAAATCTGAGAATGCTTGTTGCTCCTGGAAGTATGTAATCACACAGTATTAGAGTGATACTGAAAAGGGTTATACCTCTCCTGAAGACACAGACAATGGCAGGAAAGAGCTGCTTCAGCTTCCTTCCATGTAGCTGTTTTCTTCTAACCTCACTATTGTAGCAGCCATACTGTAGAAGATCTCCTCCTGCTGGCCTGAACCACTAAATGCCCCCAAAAGGCAGCTTCTCTTTCAGCTGGCGACATAGCTTTAGGTGTCTGAAAACAACACCTTGAAGTAATAGTGAAATACAGAAAAATTGTATTTAAAATATGTTTTGTGTTTGGCGGATGATTCAGTGAGTATTTCGTTCAATATGGCTTATGAGTGGTAGCAGTAAGGAAAATACCTGATGTGTGTTTCTGTGTGTTTCTGTGTCGTTCTTGCACTTTCTTTTAAGGTGAAATGAGCACTGGATAGGGCACATGCTGTACTTTACATGCCTGGGTTATGTCTTGCTCAATGTAAGAAGGTGGATCAGATCTCATCCCCCCCACACCACCTTACCTCACTTCTTCTTTTTTTTTTGGTCCACTGCTGCTGACAAAAAACGTGTGTTCAGAGGAGTCTGACTGCTTCTCCTCAGTGCCAACGAAAAAGCCCAGGCAGCTCTACTGATCCCAGAGAAATCAAACTGAACTGACTCAACCACAAACTCTGATTTAAAAAAAAAAAGAAGGGATGCCAAACGTTTTCACCAGTCACTCAGACTCTTGTTTTACTTGTGTAAACTTCCTCTTGTAATTTTTTCTTTTAGAGTCACTGTGAATACCTGGTACCAGCATATTAAGATACAGTATATAAAGATTTAATTATGAATCTAAACCTTATCAGTATGTGAAGATACTGTATGTACAGCTGAACTGTTCTATGTTACTTTTAGTGCATTGGGTTGTGTACACCCTCCTTTTTGCAGGATGATTATGCAGACAAAGTGTTTAAATCGTGGCCATTCAGGCTCCTGTTTCATCTCCTGTACATGCTGAAGCCTCATGACTGACCGGGGGAGACGCTGGGGTGAGAGGACCCGTTTTAACTGTGTCTCTTGTATAGCTATCTAGATTGTAGGAGGTTGGTCAAGCATGAGAATGTGCCAAGCAACTTCCAAGCTCCCCTTCTGTATGTGTGTATGTATAAAAATGTAACTTATTAATCATGCAAATGTGGATTTTCTTGTAGCTGTTTAAACTGGAGGGAAGTGTGGAGAGAAAAATGTGAAATAGGATAGAAAGGAAAGGTGTACTTGGTTATACATTTTGTTTCTTTGTAGAAAAAAAAACCCAACAACAAGAAATGACAAACTACTATCTGCAAATCTTGCTATTATCATTCTAGTATTGAGCTATTTCAGCTACAGCTCTTACATATTTAATAAGGTCTTTAAACACCATTAGGTACGCCTTACTGAGTGATGGTCAAACTGGTCGTACGGTTTTATGTGAAGGCTTATTTCTCTGACTTTGTGCCTACCTGAAAATGTAATGTATGTTAACCCAGCGTAGTGACCTCATTTCTTTGTCTTCGGTTGCACTTACTGAGGTTTTTATGTGGAAGAGACTATCTCAACATCTGGTCCGTCGTCCACAGTGTGAGGAAAAGTCATTGAGTAACACATCAGGAGAAAAGACAGATAATAATAATGAAAGACGTGTGTTGTTGGTCTGAAGAATAACTGAAGCTCAATGAGCTACGCTGATTGTTCGGAAGAGCAAAGAGACGAATATATGGTTTTTAATAGTGAACTCAAAGGGTAAAGGGTGTTTAAAATGACTGATGATGCATTGAAATGGAGTTTAAGTTGAAATGAATGTGTTGAATGACGTATGCTTCCCTGATGGGATGATTATTTTGGTATTTAAATATTTAAGAATAAATTGTCTCAGAAAATCCAAGTACAAAAGAAATCTGATTGTTGCTGAATCGTGGGGAGAAGGGATCGGAAATGAAGTTTTACTCTTCTGAAATCAGTTGTGAGTCATCGAGAATATCTGACAGATCATTATGAATCTGAGCGAAGAAACAAATTGACAACAACTCTTAAAAAAGCATAGTTGGTAACAAGCTACTATACAGCAGCATTTAACCACTTTATTTCTTGGCTAATTCTTAGAGAATTCCCATTTAATCACACGATCAAACTGTGATTATCATCCATCTAAAATTGCTGTCTGATGCTAGCTAATGGTCAACAACTATTTTCTTAAAATTGACTCATGGCCTGTTTACCACCTGTACAAACAGCTTTGTTAGTGTTAAAACACTTTTCAAGCTAATGGCAGAAAGAGCAACTTTTGTTTTAACTTGAGATATGTCTGTTGTCCATCTGGATTAACATCTTGGCATTTCACAACTTCCTAGCTATAATTACCATTAGCTTTTTATTTGCTAAATGCTAATAAAGTTTGAAAGTGATATTCTAGAATAAAAAGGAAGGAGGAAGTGGTTAACACAAAGGTTAGCTGTTGCTTAGCTGTGGTTTACCAACTTTGTTGATAAGATCTCCTGTTGTCTACTAGCAGCTAGGCCTTTATTAGCATTCAGCCACTTCCAAGCTAATATTAAAATTTTCTTGTAATTTGCTGAAAGCTAAACTTTAAGTTTAAAAGTGTTTTACAATACAACACATTAACTTAATTATCAAATCTGTTGTTTTAACTTTAAATATGGCCTACAGACTTTAACTACATTGTTTTTGTACAGTTTCTGATAAAAGCAGGAAGCTGTGAAATGATACCATACATTTACTACTTCACTCCTGTGACACAACAGTTAAAAAGCACTTGAGATGTCCACCTATAGCAAGCATATCGACTCCCCTATTGTATCTTGAAGATAGAGAGGACTTATGTGTGAGTAAGAGTAAGTTGGATCTTTATTGAGAGAGCTGGATGGATTTTGTCAAGAAGATGCAGCAGACCGATCCAACCTTCTGGACTGGACTCAGGAGATGATGAACACAGGCGGTGGAGGTGAAAGCAGCCCCTGGAAGAAACAGTATGAAGGTCCAACATGATGTACAACAGATTATATATCACATTTACAGACAGCATACAAGTCAGATAGTTGGCTGGAAAGAAAAGACTGTAAACGTCAGGGAGATAAAGTCAAAAGAAATAGGTTAAAACATTCACTTCAGATGGCTGCTTAGGTCTTAAAACACAAGGCATCTGCTGTAATTAGTAAAGTAATACCTATATATCCCATGTATTTATGGAAAATACATTTATATTTGTCAGTATGAGAGGGAAAGGCTTTAGTTGTATTTGTGAAAAATCAAAGGTAAGTTCAGCTGACTGCATTTATTCCATTGCTGCTACTGCCAAAGAACTGCTGAGTGATTTGTATTTCTGTTTCAGGTGTGAATCAATCCTGCTGTCAAGAAAACCCAGAATTAAAAGAACACTCATCTTTTCACAATCAAACAGCGTCACGACTGGATCTGACGTTTCATGGTCTTTGCTAGGTAGGTCTGTTAAAAATGTAGAATTATTGATCTAAAATGAATTAGCACCTCAACACTGCTCGTTATATCAGTCTGAAAATTCATGTTATGCTGTTGAAGGAATTTAAAAAGAAGAAAAGCTTTGATTTAAACTCGAATGAGTTATTGAAGCTTAAACACTGTCAGCTGTAACTATTAAAGCGTAGGTCTTAAGTACTCAAGGACAGTATTTTGAACAGCAGACCAAATGACCAGATACAAGAAAGAGACAGTTTAACATCCTGTTTGTCACTTATATTAGCTGAGCAAGCAGAGCAATGACAAGCTTCATCCCTGATCCTTTACAAACTCGAGCAAAGTGATATTAGCTGTTGAACCACATTTGTCCTGACATTGACTATATGGGGAAGCAAAACTAGCTTACTGATTAAATTACACTAACACTTCCCTTTAAACTTCATCATGTTTTCAAGTTATTCAAGTATTTCAAGTATGATTATCATTATGCTCTCATACACCATGTTAAGCTTTATATGTCTTCATAAAAGACACAGTGCATCCAGACAACAAAACTAACAAAGCAAAAAGCAGATGTGTTTCCTAGTTAAGAATGTTAGCCTCCTTATATATTTGTACTAAACAAAGAGTGGCAGGAATGACATTGATTGTGCAAGAAATTGCTCACAAACCAATGTCCATATATTAAATCCATTGCCTATCCCCATGCAGGGTTATGGGGGGCTGGAGCATCCAGCTGTCATTGGGCGGGAAGCGGTGGGACACCCTGGACTGGCTCGCCTGTCAATCACATGGCTGACATGTACATACCACAAGTCACACCTACGGACAATATAGAGTCATCAGCTAACCTAACAGGTATGTCTTTGAACTGTGGGAGGAAGTGCCTGGACTCCACACAGAAAGGCTCTGCCAGACCGATATATCAAAAACACTTTGTATTTCATTCTGATTAAGTTGCTTTATACAAATATAAGAGATCCCCAAAGCATTAAAAATGCATCCTGAAGGGGCGCCGGTAGCCTAGTGGTTATGTCATGCGCCCCATGTACAGAGGCTACAGTCCTCTTTGCAGCGGCCGTGGGTTTGAATCCAACCTAGGCCCTTTGCTGCACGTCATCCCCTCTCTCTCCTCCCAACGCTTCCTGTCTCTCTTCAGCTGTCCGATCCAACAAAGGCAACAATTGTCCAAAAATTAAAAAAGAAAAGCATCCTGAAAACATTCATGTTAGAAATTGTGTTGTGTAAATCCAACTGATGACTGTTTGTACTTAAACCACACATGTCAACCTCATGATGGCGCTAGAGCAAAGTCAAAATATCTCATTAGATAATGAGATATTTATTGTTGAGGAACACTATATGTATTCCATATGCATTGCGTTTAAGTCACGCCAAATGTCTCAAGGTTCCTGTCCTTCAGAGGGCAGAGTGGGGGACAGAGTCAGACCCCCCACTCCTTTCCTGCGTCGATCTCTAATCTCTCTCTTGATTTCTTACTCTATCCATTGTCATCAATCAAATGAGGCGGCAATAGCTCAGTCTGTAGGGATGGGAACCGGGGGTTGCCGGTTCAAGTCCTGATGCGGACCAAATCCGGAGGTTGGTCTGGTAGCTGGAGAGGTACCAGATCACTCCCCAAGGCCCCACCATCAGATCAGGAGTGCCTGCTGTGGGCAGCGCCCTCACTCTGACATCTCTCCATTAGTGCACGTGTATATTTCAGCCTATGTGTGTGTTGCATGTAAAAACAGAAATCTCCCCTTGTGGGGATCAATAAAGTAATCAGTAAAGTAAAGTAATAGTATCTTAATCTTAATGAAGACATAAAAGTAAAAAAATAGACCTAAAAAAACACTTTTATCATGTCAGAGAAACACAAAAGACATTACACATTTTTTACTAAGATTCAGACTCAACATATAAGAGCCAGCCTGTTGCATACACTTTTTTACAGATTAAGTGTGAAATAAAAAAAGTTTTAAAAATGATATTCTGATTGGATCCCCATCTCCCTGGATTGATGCTGTGTGATTTAAGACAAATACTCTTTTTAAAAGCTTGTTCACTGATCATAATACAGCACGACAACATAATACAAACATGTTCCAGGACTCCATTCTCTCCCAGGCTTTCCTAAACAAAGACACAGAAAAAAAAGGCTTCATCTTCCCAGCCCTGACACCAGGAGCAGGACTGATGACAACAATCAGCAGCCTATGTCTTTATTTGGGGTTGTAGTGCAGGACAGACGCTTCACTAGCGGCAGTGTGTCACACACAGCTTAAGGGCTCAACACCGGTTTGACTCATCCGTGTTCTGTAAATACAGAGGCCGAGTGCTGGTGTGTGTGTGTGCGTGTGTGTGTGTTTAGACTTCTGGGTTGTATATTGCGTTTACATGGCCAGGCCAATGTTGCTCTATACACAACACGTGGATGAGGCCAAGTGTTAGTGTATCTCCAGTGTCACTGCTGTTTTCTTGCAAAAAGTCTGATTGATCAATATAAAACATCTGCTGATACAAACACTCAGATATTATACTCTAGAGGTCCCTCAGTGTTTAGAAATGCATCCAAATATCCACAGCTGAAATCTCAGTTTGTCTCAGTCAAAAGCTTAACTTGAACAAAGACAAACAAAACGTATTCAAGTTCTGTTGAATACATTTACTGTAAGCAACAAACTAAAACACATAGTCGACATGTTTCTGTGGAAATAGCAACATTTTTTTTTTGCAAAGCTTGCAGCCAGTTAATAAGTCATGTACGCCATAAAAAACAAGCCGAGCGAGTCAATGATATATTCATTACGCAGTCGGGCCCTCATGTCGTAAACCGTGTAGTTAAACATTAAAGAATGAGACGAATCAGGACACTGCAGGCTTACTGTTGTTATCTGAAGAGTTCCCACCTTCAAGGTCTTATTAGCTTTAACATTTAGAGACACAAAATGTGAAGTGTTTGATTTGGAACAAATACTGAACAAATGAAAAGCTATAGATGCAAGTGAAGTATTGGTTGATGAGTAAACTGCTTGTAGTATTTCATGACAAGCTATTGATTTGTTATTATGGCAACAGACAAGGATCAAATAAGGATCAGCTTGAGTTGCACTAAAAAGCACTTTTCTAATACTTCCTAATGCAGAACTCACAGATAAGAATGAGTTACGAGAGGAGAAACCACAAAATGTTACAGAGGTCTTTATTTTTAGTAGAAGACATTATCCAGACTTCTTCAACTGTACAGTAACATGCACTTTTACGCCAAAGGTTGTGTGTACTTTTGTACTTTCTGAAGAACTGGGGGGGGGGGGGGGTGGATTATTAGCAGAGGGCAGTGAAGAGTGTTTCATAATCTTCACCCTGTTTCTGGAAGGTCTCCATGTGACAAGTAGTCTGTGTTTCCCTAAACAGACAGAAGAGCAGTTCCCTCACTTTTAGAGGGTTTCTTGGCTGTAATTCCTGCACAGAATGAGATCATCCATCAGGAAGAGGAAAAATACACAGAGAAAACAGCTGTAGGGTTACTATAACTGGGGAAAATTCCCCGTTTAACACATTGTCTCTTTGTATATGGCTTCCTATCCTCTTTTTCTAAACAGATGTACTAAAATGGAAACAAAGTTTCTCAGAATACATATAGATTATGTGTGTTGAGTTAAGTTAACATGTGCTGGAAACAAACCATCTCAGCCTGCTGGCAGACTGTACACTTGTTTATGTTTCTAATAGTAACACTGTGTTTTAAATAAAGTGTCAGGAAAGGACATGTTCTGTGAGTGGGAGCTCACAGGAGGAGGGAAGCTTCAAAATGTTCTCCTGCTGTGTGCAGGCTGCAGGGAGTGACACAAGAAAGACAACACCTGCACAAAGGCCACAAATGAAATAATCATAGAAACATTCAAATCTCCTGGAGCCTCAACTAAATCAATGTTTTTGGGGTTAAGTGATTGCACTGCATTATTCTGTATCAAACTGGATTCATGTCTGTTACTTTCTTGCCCTCATCCATTAAAAACAATGTGTCAGGGTCATTGACTGAAATTAAAGACGGACAACGCTCCATCTATTTCGGTTGTACAAAAATGAAGCCAAAACACCCTCATGACAAATTGCAAGAGGACATCCTTTGGCAACCCAGTCTCATGTCAAAATGTGTAATACCTACGTTGGTCCACAGCGCAAAACGTAGTAGTTTCGCAATAAAGGCTCTAAAATTGTGACATGCCTACGTTTCCTTTTGCCTATTCTTTTGTATAGGCATACCTCAGGTCATGTGACTGCCCAGTTTTCCCCTGGCGAAAAAAAAAACATGGCGGACATCCATTCTATTTTCAGTGGAAAATGCAATATTTTAAGATAGTTTGAGGCGTATGTGTCGTTTTGATAACCTTTCTGGCGAAAAAATGTACATTGTATCTTCATAATCTTTGTTCGGTTTATGTTTATGATCTTTAGATTCTTTCAGGTCTCGCTTGAAAAACGTTGGACTGTTACGTTTTCTACTGTTGCCATGGTGGTAGCTATGGACACTATCAACAATGAACCGGAAGGAAGTGGACGTTCGGTTTGCGGCTCTTAAAACGGGTTACATCAGACCCTACACATCAAACTAAGCTCCTATGCAAAAAAAAATGATTTCTGTTACATTTTTATGGATGTCTTTCATTACAACCAAATTTAATAAAACGATTGGAACAGATCGATGCATATTAGCAACATTATAAACTATAAAATGTAACAATCCTTGATACATAAAGACAATATTTAACAAAATAATCCTGACGGATTAGATTAATACCAGAAAATGCAATCAATAAAGTAAACGGCCGGCGATAAGAACTACAAACGGGCGCATGACACTGACATCAAATAATGAGGTATTGATAATCGTCACTTGTGAGCGACCTCTTTGTTAGATCTTTCAGGGTGTATTTACTCCTTGCGCCCTCTACGCTCTGAGTCCGTCAGCTACGCTCTGTTGAGCCCACACTGTTAGACCCCACGTGGGCCAAGTCTGCTCTGATTGGTCTGCCGATCCGCTCTGTCGTTATTGGTCAGTTGCTCAGCACTCGTCTTGGAAGTTTCAACATGAGCTGCAGGGCTTGCCACAACGAGCCAATGGGTTTAGATCAGTGATCTCACACTGACAATGACGTCGGTCTGACAAATTTTAATCAAGGGGGGCTAGAACCGAACGTTACATGCTGCTAATGCTACAGCTAACAGGAGGAGGTAGGAGAAGCCGCGTTTCCCGGACTTTGAATTTTTGCACATAGATGTTCCTAAACATGCACAGGACACTTTGAAAACACACTAAAGGACATAGAAAACCAGAAAAATCATAATATGGGACCTTTAAGCCTCAAACTATCTTAAAATATTGCATTTTCTGCCCGAAATAGAAGGGATGTCCGCCATGTTTTTTTTTCGCCAGGGGAAAACTGGGCAGTCATGTGACCTGAGGTATGCCTATACAAAAGAATAGGCAAAAGGAAATGTAGGCATGTCACAATTTTAGAGCCTTCATTGTGAAACTACTACGTTTTGCACTGTGGACCAACGTAGGTATTACACATTTTGACACGAGACTGGGTTGCCTTTGGAGCCAGATACATTGCAGCAGAGATGGAACTAATTTTCTTCTAACTAAAGCACAACTTATAAACTGTAAAGATCCTTTAGGACAGAACAATCCACAGCAGAACTATTTACTGTTATGAAAAGTTGATTGACTCTTGTTTTAGTGTTCGTATCCCTAACCCTAATCACACAACTCGCCTGTTAAAACTAAACTTTGGGAAAATGTGAATACTCTGACTTAAATCAGCATGACAAGGAGTAACATTAATGACAGAAACCATGTTTGAGAAAAATGTATTTGAGATGTATTTACAGTAGATTTTATGTTTTGACCCATGTCCCATCTGTTAACATTTGAGGAGGCGGAGCTTATGGCCTATACTGCGGCCAGTCAGTAGGACAAGTAATATGTTTTGGCTTCACTTTTTGGGAGCTGTCATGTCCTCTGTTTTTTTTGTACAGTATGGTCAGGATGCTGTACTGAGTGTCTTATCAGCTGTATTTTTTATTATCAGCATCAGACCACAAGACCCGATAGTGAAGACATCGGGGAGGATGGTTTGGGTCTTCCATCCCGGTACATTAAGCGAGAACATTTAGACAAAAGACCTCCAACATCAAAAAGATCATTTACTTCAGACTGTATTAGCCCGGACATGTATGTTGTTGGAAAGTACCTATATTTAATCCATTTTGAGAAAAAAGCACAACTAGGACAAAGTTGCTTTTTATTTCTCAAAAAAAGGAGGTTTGCGAATGTTGAAATGAATTTCACCCAAAACACTAAATGCAAGGCTTCAACGAAATGTTGAAAGAAAGATTTGTGATTACTCATTGATTTCACTTGTGATAGAATTAGCTGCTCTTTAAAAAAAAACAGTTTGGAGGAGCTTTGTGAAAAATGACCACGATGATGTCATAGTTATGTCATCTGTGTTATCTTTGAGCCTGGAAACTTTAAGAGATTGGTCTGTGTCACCACAGTGTGTAGTTTGAGAGCTTGAAGGATAAGGGCATTTACCAGACACCATAAAACATGGATAGTCTCAGTGATGTCACTCTTTGGTTTATGAAGAGGTGCTATGTAGAAGACCTAAGATGATGGTCGCCATGGAAATGCTGACTCAAACTAAAGCCCAACTAATCAAGAACCAGGCAAAGAGGTGAAGCAGGATGAATGTTCAAGTCTATGTATTCAAATAGCCTAGTTAGTTTGTAAGGCTCTCTGTGCAAACTGCAAATAAATCAAATCATTATTATTTCAAATAATTTGGGCCTATGCCGGTTTTGGTGGAGACATTTCTTCTCTGTGTTTTTCAGCGGATTGCAATCCCAATTTCAAATTGAATACCGCAACCTACTGTACCGGAGTATTTAAAGGATCCAGTTTTACAACATTAATATGTAAAATACAATAGCAAAAAAAAAAAGAAGCAGATATTTGGAAGTATCTTTACAAACTGGTTCGTACAGTTTCCTGTTGGTTGTATTGTTGCCACTGAACTCCACTGCTGCACATCTTTTCCTGCTCTGTTCTCACTCAATTAGCAGAGTCTCTGGGATGAGAAATTGGCACCACGGAAATTCCGTCCTTTGCACTTTGCTTGTTAAACATCTAAGCCAGGGTTCACAAGTCAAAGAAGCAGGCGCTATCACACCTTGCTATTTTCTCTAACCCGGACTGTTGAGTTTGTCGCCGCCTGGTGGCCAAACTAGAGAGCGCAAGAGAGTGAGCAGAGAGAGCTAAAGAGAGAGTGGAGGCACACGGAGCACAGAGCATGTCGCCTCCTGTTGCTGTAGCTCACTGTGGGATCTGCTGTCGACCTTTCAGGCTGTGCACAACGCAGAGAGCTTTATTTACGCGTACTCTTGCTATGAGCGACCCCGAGGGTTGTCGGAGTGAAGCAGCTCTGCGTCTGCGCTGATTCCGGAGTCGGGGGAAAAACCGGGCTGGTCTTTGCGGGGATTTCTTTATTTTTTTTTGACACAACTTGGAAGTGAAGTCGCTTGTTTGGTCCGTTCGGAGCTGCTAGCAGAGAGAGAGAGAGAGAGAGAGAAGTGTGAAACAAGTGTCAAAAAGAGAGCAACAGATGGAAATGCGGCCGGCTGAGGAATGAGAGCAGCAGCGAGGAACCGGCGGCCCTTCCAGCGGTTCTGCTGCTGTGGAGTCGGGCTGCTCGCTGTCATTTGGCTCACTCAGGTCATCCAAGCACCAGGTGAGACCTTAATATATGTCGCCCGTGTGCAAGCGTGCATGCACAACAGTTATATACCTATGGGCAATATGAAATAGGTGTTGGCAACTGAATTCCAAATATATTTGTGAAAACTTAGTAGTAGCCTACTATACACAACAGCTTATAAATCACTGCTGCAATGTAGGTTAATGAAGGTATCCCACATACACACAGAAGAAACATGAAAAACAGAACTCTAGAGCAATTCTTAAAATTGAGATGCTAAGTTTTAAGTTTGATTTCCGGAGTTAGAATAAAACGTTTTTGATAGATTTAACTGGCATTGACATTTTCTAATTGTATATAAAACTAATTGAAAAAAAATGCAACATATGGTGTTAGTAAATGTTGCATAACCATGTTTATTGGGCGTGTAATGTTATTTTTTTCTTCATTTTGAGCAAAGGTCTGACATACCTCCCCTCTGATCACTTCATCTAAATATAGATATCGTGTTGAAGGGTGCAAATGTTACAACAGAAAGGTTTCACTTTATCCGTACAAATGTGTTTGCCTGAAATGACATTTAACATCAGGTGGGAAAGAATGCAGTTGTAGAGTAAAAAAAAAAAAAGGTCATGTTAAAATAATGTATCATGCAAAATCTTTACCACATAGTTCTGTTTGCCTGTATGACAGCTGACGCTCTGTTTCTAAATATTTTAATCTAGTTCATTGTTCTGCTCACCATCTCCCAGCTTCTGTCCTCGTGCTCACACTGCAGGGAGGTGACAGGTTGTTGATTACATAAAGCAGACACATTCAAACCTTGGCAAGTATAAATCCAATCACTGGGAATAAGTTCAGTTACAGGTTAGTCCAGATTTAACAGGAATTCGACGGGTATTTCACCAGAAATACCGTTCAGTGGGAAGGATAAGGATTTTTTTTTTTTTTTGGGACGTGTTGAATAGACAGCCTGGTGCTAGGTTTTCCCTTGAATTGAATCAGCCCTCAGAGTAGATTACATTTTTTTTTTTTAAATTGACACTTTGAATACAATGCAGCCATAAAAGGTCATGTAGTGTGAACTTCAAAGAATTCATTACATGATCGCACTTCATGTGCACAAACTCACCTCTTCTTTCTATAAAATTCACCTGCACCAGTATCCATCAAAGACCAGAATAAGGTTATTATTTTGTATGAAGTTAAATGCCTCTCATATCAGCAGCAGTAGTTCACCTGGCATCCAATCCCTCCCTCCAGCTCGTTATTCTGTCATCATCTCTGTAAGATTGGTCACACATTGTCACACACTCATCAGCGGCCTCAGCGCCAATTATGTTTTTCTCTGCACTCCATGCATGTGTGTTTTAATGATACGTGAACATTGTTCTTTCTGGAGTGGGTTTGATTGAAGGTTTTATCCTCGTATTCCTTGCAGAGTGTCCTGGAGAACGAGCCCTTTCATTAATATTTATACTTCACCTTTAAAATATGAGTGTGCAATCGACCAAAAGAGGACATTTGAAAGGCCAGCTCGGACTGAATCACATAAAAGCACAAGGCAAAGCATGTGGTCTGCTGTTTGTAACAGGCAGGTTACTGTCACAACACTTGGTAAATAAAACATACCGTACCATTCTGTAACCGCTGCTTAGAGAACCTTTTATGGATGTGTGGATCCAACACTCAGTAGGCGATCCAGATTGTTGTGTTTGTAAAAAAAAAAAAAAAAAACGGATTGGATTGGGTATTGGAAAATTAGCAAAAGTTACAAAAACAACAATTTCTAAGAAAACTACGCAGAGGCAACAAATATAACCGAGACAATAAGAAGTATGAGAAACTCAGACGACCAACATGACAGCGAAACTGATAGCACAGATAATGAATTAAGCGTATTAATGTTGCTGAAACCTGACCGATGTTTCCTTTTTCTGATTGGGGTCTTAAAAAGCCAATAATTCATCAGAGATAGCTGCTCTTTGTATTTTTTCAAGCACGTGAAAACAGCGGTGTTGATAAAAGCTGACAGACGAGTAAATCCCTGTAGTGTATGTCTAAACAGCTCGCTGATTTCCCTGAAGTTCACTGATAAAAGATTGGGAAGTTTGTGTGTTTTGTATCCAATTTTGGATAAATGGCCTTTTCAAGATAGTGTAGCAGATGCTGGACCAGCTATAACACCTTTTTGGGGGGTCTGAGACAGTGTAAATGAGATGGCGTTATGTTTTTCAAATATATAGCATTCGTGTTGGGTAGGCTTATTTACATATTCAACAAAAGCAGATGTTAGCACAACTGATATTCCCCCTCTCTTAACTCAGTTTGATTTTATTTAAGGGAAGCGTTTGTCTCTATTCACCAAATGGACCTACAGGTACACATAAAGTTACCTTGCCTTACCCTTAGCTTCTAATGCACTGCTTCATTAGCTAGCTAGTCGTTTACTTAGTTTCCCTCTCTTTTTTTCCCTTTGGTAAGGCTGCTTACAGTCAGGTTATCAGACCTTTGTTCCACTGCAGCTATCACCTGTTATGACAAGAAACAAGGCTGTGAGAGTGTTGAGAGCGTGACTGTGAAGTTGTAGGCTGGATAACCTGAAGGAAAACTAGCATGTGAGTGACAAAGTTGTCACCAAATGAACCTTTTCCCAAACAAGTAGTCTAGTCTTTTTATTTGACTCAAAATGCTTATAGAAGCTTTAAAGTCATTGAACAATTGAACAGGCTAGCTTTCTTTGACGCATTCGAGTGGGGAACCAACCGAAGACATGAATGAGCTGGAAGCATGAAAAAATAATAATTTATTAATCTGTTTTTTTACACTCTGTCTAATGAACATGCTACACAAAGATAGGCCGAAATACACACACACACACAAACAGGATCCTATGGAGAGGTCTCTGAGTGGGGGGGGGGCTGCCCAAAGCGAGTGCTCCAGAGCAGTTTTGGGGTTTGGTGCCTTGGAAGGAAGACTGGCACCTCTCCAGCTACCAGACCACTATCCGGGGCTTGGTCCGTGCTGGGACCTAAACCGGCGACCCTCCAATTCCCAACCCAAGTCCCTACAGTATGAGCTACTGCCGCCCCAAGTCACATGTTAGTTGCATAAATAGTGTTTTTCAGTGTTTGATCGATGTTTCGTTCATTTTATTAAGCTATAGAAGTATTCCAAAAAGAGGAAATGAAGGGAGCTCCACATACACACACAGCCCGCCGTGCACAAACACACAGTGCTTCCCCTCTGGCTCCGATGATACCGTCTTTCCTCTGGAACGCCTTTTGTTACTACCTTCGAAGACGGTACAGGGGGGGGGGGGATCACTTCTTCTCCTCTGCGACATCCAGACTGAAGACTGAAAACGTCACAGTGATGTAAATATCCCACCTTGAAACGGCAGTCTGTATAGGGCTTAAGGGAGGGCCAGGAGCAAGTTGGAGAAGATGAATTGTGTATCCTCCTTTTATTACTTGAATCATCAGAACAATCATAATCAAACTTCAGTCAATATTGAATTGTATTTCATTTGTATCGGGGGGGGGGGACTCTGATGTCTGATTTACAGTATCCTGATCTGAGCTTTTAGATTCCTCGACACCTTATTTTGAACCATTTAAGATCACATTAGTTATTTGAATTGAAATTTAGCTCAGAAAGTTTCTGACATACAAAACTAATATATAAAAGACTCGGGTTTCAGATGCAGCTGACCTCGCCTTAATAAACACCAAAGAAAGAGGATTTCATTCAACCATATTTACTACCACTGACTGCAGTCTCGCTGTGTGGCGGTGGAATCTGTTTGGGGTAAGAGCGCAGGAAGCCGGTCTGTCCAGTCGATGTTTGATTGACGGGATCAAATATGTTGTTTCTGCTCTGGTGGAGGCAACAGTGGTTTGACTTTGCTGAATGGAACAGATGATAGTTTGAAGGTTTGGACTTTCATGTTTGAAATTCTTTTCCTCCCGGCCTTTAGAAATACAGATAGGGTCTGTGATGGTGGGAGAAGTGAGGACGTTTAATGGGATTTTGTTTTCCTTCTGGCTTCAAAAATGATGACTAAACATCCCAAGAATCTGATGCACAAAGCGTCAGCATGGAGGGCTTCCAAAGTTTAGATTATATAATTATATAAGTCTGATGATTCTAATTATAGAATTCTGATGTGCAGAGTGATGAATAATGACATACTGGTATGCACACTCCTTTATGCAATGGCCAGTTTGTTTATGTTGAGGAATGTGGCAGCAGGATTAAAATATTTTCATACAAACACTACATCTCATGTTTCGTCAGCTGTCGTCACTGATCCTTCTGTAACCTATTTCCTCTATATTTACATTCAAGGCCTGTAGCAGACGCTCTTATCTGGTGGAACAATCAGTGGAACAATAAAGTAAACACAGTGAATCACCAAAGTTATACGTAACTTCTCAAAATCTGTGCGGTTGTGATCTTTCTGTTTAATAAGACACATTCTAGTAGAGCTAAACCATCTTGCCTTATATCACATGAAGTAATACACTGTCATGGAGTCTGACATTGACGAAAAAGAGACTGACAGTGACTTTTGTTCAGGCTCTCAGCTGAACACTTTCTTTGGTAAACACTGTTGAGTGTAAGCTACCCCTGAACCAAACACACAAGTCATCGATTGAATGAAGACTTGATCATCTTTTTCTTATTGAAGCAGTCTTTTTATGTTTTATCAACGCTGTAACTTCTGGTGTTACAAATTGAAGCGCAAGTGCATTAAACAGCAGTTCCTCAAGTGTCCACTAGAGGCTAACTCCAAAACCTGAAGAATCCCCATTAGAGCCCATTTAGAAGCAGAAATAAAGTCTGGTTCATAGACTGTAAATATTATTGGACAAAGCCTGAGTGACATCACATCTGTTACTGCAGGGGTTAAGACCCCAACGCCCGCCAGCCCGGTACAAAAAACAGTTTTTGTCTCCATGGTACATTTCTTTATTGGCTTAAAGTATAGGGGATAATTTTTAAAAAAAGTATTTGTTTTTATTATAACGAGGCTGATAGGTAATCAGAATTAGGCACAATAAGGGGCGTGGCTGATTTGACTGACAGGAGATGTTGTAGGTTTGCCAGGAGACTAGACGTGACTTTATCTAAATCTTGTTGATCTCAAACTGTCATCTTTGTTCCTGTTGTTTGGAATATTCTTGCTGGATGATGAAATAGATGGATGTGTTTCAGCAACTAAGACAGTCATTCGGCCAGCCTCAACTCCACCTCTTTGGCTGCTTTTCACTCAGCTTGAAGTCAGTTAGAGTCAGCATTTCAAATATGGCAATCGCCATCGTTGAGCCTCGTGCTTCCCCGTCAGACACCAATGAGCCCTTTTTTTATTTTTTTTATAGTCTTGGTCTCATCTCTATTTGCTTTTACCTGATCAAGATGCAGAGGACTCAGGATTTTATTTTGAGACTGATCAGCAGCAATACTTTTCAGAAATCACTAAATTGCTCATGCAATGTAACGTGGCTCGTCTACAATTTTAACCTAGACGTGAATCTTTCAGCTCAATTGCAGTATAGAGCTCAGCACCTTAAAGTCTTAGTTTCGTCTGGGTCTTGACACTCTCTGGTCTTGGTGTAGGAACTCTTAACTACAATCATGTTCTTATATATGAAGCCAAAGCTTATGGTTAGTCAGTTTGTACAATCATGGATTTACCATTCACTCTTTAAATTGTTAAGAGGTGAAAAAAAAAAATTGTGTTTCATGAACTATGAATAATACAATTAAGCAGAACATAGTTTTTGCTTCCCTTTTCAAACGCGATCTGATTTGGTTTGCATTCAGGAGCCATCCCTCAGTCGTAGGTGTGAAACTGGTGCAGAACTGTCTCTTCTGAATCCCCTTTGAATTTCCAATGAGTGGAGCTCCTCTTGATGCCTCGACATGAAAGCCTTCACGTCTCCTCTCAGCCACGAACTGCTGCCCTTGTGAAATGAGCTCATTGAGCTGTAATGTACAAAGGGACACTACAGCGCCTGACAATCACCAAATGCATCCGACACCAAGCTGCCTCTCAAATAAAAGGACGGTGTGAAGTACAAAGCGTAATAACCGCCTCACTATCTTCCCTGCACTTAGTGCGACGATCTCTGTGGGTGGTTTGGGAGTTTATCTGTATTTTTCTTTCTTCTGTCATAGAGATGATGAGACGGGTCTATCTGTGGGGACTTTTCCTCGGCTGCTTCTGCAGTAAAGCTGTAAAAACTGATACCCGCACAGAGATTAGCTATCAAGGAATGAAATCCCGAGCCGAAATAAACACCATAAAGATGTGTGTGCTGATGGCTCAGGACAGCTGACGGCAGCATGGACAAGCATTACAGAACAAGCTGCTATCTCTCTGTGCCAGAAACATGAAGCCTCAGTCTGCTGGGTCAAGAATAACTCTGGAGACAATTACTGCATGTGAAAAATGTGGCAACAATGGGAGGAAGATTTTCTAAGGACAAGTGAATAGTTTGTAATATGAAACCCAGACGATCACATTGAGATGTGGGGTATCTTAGTAAGTAGGTCTCTTTTTTTTTTGTTTTCTGAGACTGTTTATTTTCCTTTGCAGACTCGTCCAGATTCTCTGATCAACAAAAAGTCATTTGACACCAAAGTACAGCCATAACTTTATGATTTGAGTTCTTTATTAAGCAACAGTCTTAAAGGACATTAAAATCTCCAGTTCATCCTGTTATTTATAAAGGATTCAACACTACTGGTAGAACCATCACAGCTTTTTTAAACACAACCTTGGCTCGTGTGAATAGTTCAGTACTAAATATATTTTGGTATATTTTATTAACACTAATCTATTCTTCAGTAAAAGCTGGTAAACATACCAATGCAATGTCTTCAAATGTTGTGTTTTCGTCTGACAATGTACAACCAGAAGAAGTCCAGTTTACTTTAGACAAAGAAGAGGAGCAAAGTCTGGCTGTTTAGAAACGGGTTCTATGTCATGTTTGACATTTTGATGTTTGAATGATTAAAGTATTTGGGGATTCATTTCAGCTAAATGTCAGCAATTCTGACATTTACTTTGAACTCTGTAGATATTGTTGATATGCCATGAGTGTATCTAGCTGGACTGGTTTTGCATTAAACTGACCCTGATGTTGTTTTGGTACAGAGGCGAAGTCTTCTGGGTTTCAGCCAGGCGTGAACGATGGGACGCTGCGGTGGACTCGCAGGCTGATGCAGGAGACGTCAGAAAACCAGAGCCTGGATCAGCCCAGAGCAGGTGAGTCAATCGTCTTTACCTGGACAGATGCCTTTTTTGTGTTCTTTTTTTTTTGTTGATCAAACCATTGAGTATATATAAAGATGGACAATGTGTCACCACCTCCTTCCTTTAAACAAAAGTGAAGCCGACAGCATATGGCGCTGACATGCTGATGATGTCATTATGGAGACAGAGTCTGAACAGTAGGGATCGACTGGCCTCCTGCCCCTCCCTCTAAACAAAAACATTGACTACCTCATGTTGGCAGAACAGGAGAGCAGATTCTTTTGTTGGTTTTGAGCAGACGTTCTCAGTTATTGAAGGTTCAATAACTTGTGTTAGTGTTCGTTATATTTTTCTTTCACCACAGGAGACAGATTGGTCGACAGAGCTGTCAATCTTTGCATTTTACACCTTTTTGCAGAATCAAACATCTAATTAAAAGTAAACTTCTTCGAAAATAAATGACCAGAATAAGAATTAACGTTGAAGACAGCAACCATGATTGAAAAAAAAAAATGTATAAACATGTTTATTGAATTGAGTCGGACCCATGCCATGTACAATCTGTTCACGTGGAGGAGGCGGAGCTAATGACAAATACTGCACCCCAGTCAGAAGGGGGCGCTTCACATTCTTTAGCTTCATTTATGGAGAGTTTTCATATCGTACAGTCCATGAATCAAACAGGTAGATTCTCCCACACTAAAGCAGAGGTTCTCAACTCGTCTAATCTCAGGATCCACCAACAACTCATCCCAATCTCTGATATCTGATATAACTACTCAGATTTGTTTAAAGACAAGTTTAAAGACAAGACAAAACACATGACGGAAGCAAGAAACTTGCTAAAGACATTAAAGACATGATAAAAAGGGCGTAAAATACTTTTTAAAACAAGTTTTAAAAAGCGTCAAACGGCTCCACAGCTCAAAAGTGGGTCAGAACAGTTGAGAATCAATGTTCTAAAGTAACCCCTTAAAGTTAAATGTTAGGGATATCATCTTTATGACTGTATATAATATGATTCAGTATCAATGTGTTTTATAATAGCTGACATTTCCTGGGATGAAGAATATCTATTTTTTATTTCACTGTGGCACTGTGTTGTACAGTTTTCAGCCTCTCCCCTGCAGGTGAACTGAAAGGTCATGTGGACTGAGAGTGTGTAAGTTGTGTAGTGGTCAGTGTCAATCTTCTGGATGTATGAGAGGAGGCTGCTGCACTGAGATTTAGAGTTGATTCGATCAATTTGAGTCCTGATTCCTGGTTGCTCCTTGATTAGTTTGAAAAGATTCAAACTCCTCTTTGTGATCGTTACAGAATACATGGAGCCAACCTAGAAGCCATAATGATCGCTCTGCTCCTCTGGTTCTTGGCCTGATTAGCTGCATGGCTGACATGAACCGCATTCATCACTGCTGACAGTTTTATTATAAAAAATTCAGACCAGGGAGGAAGAGTCTCTTTATTGTTGTGTGTGGAGAATAACACAGAGCACAGTATAAAATAACAAGGCTGCTCAATGAAGAATCCTTTGACTAGTTGACAGAGTAAAGAGCTTCATCTTCACATCATTTGCATTTACTCTAGTGCTGTGTTAATGTCACGCTGCCTGTGATTGGATGTGTAGTATGCTAACTACATGGCTATTGTTGAGGTCTGAGTACAAAACTTAAAGCGTAATGTCACAGAATTGTATGAAAATACACTTATGCGAATAATAAATCATGCAAATAGCCTATTAGAACCACACTCCTAAATACCACCTGAGGTGTACTGCCTACTAATAATATACACACATGATGAATTATTCAAATCTTTCAAGGATATTTGCGTGTGGAAATAGATGACACTGGCAAACAAAAGAAAGCCTTTTTAAACATATTCCATTAGCCACAGCAGGGAAAGCTTCTGTGAGGCGCTTCTTTTTTTTTTTTAGACATTATGAAACAGACTGAAATGAATACTGATCGCAAAACCATGAGAAAGCAGACTTATTATGTATCTAATGTCATCTTGTAATGCCTTAGTAGGAGGAGGTGTCAGACGAAGTGATTAACAGCATGCTGCTCGAAAAGTCTTCTTTTTTTTTGGACAGCAAAGATCTACAGCAAATGATTTAACTGACTGTTGGAATAAAGCAGGATACAGATTTAGCATGTACATGGAAAAATTAGGGTCTGGAATTTTTGTTTTTTACAGTGATATTTATTTTTGCCCTGGCTCACTTTAGGAAAAAAAAGTAACTCAAAACAGCCAGTCTTTGGTAACTAAGAACAATCCAGACTTTCATGGACTGATTGAAATCAATCAATGTCGGACAAACACGGAGCAAGTGATCAATTCATGTATAATGAGTGCAGCATAACTGCTTAAATAAAAATACAGTTACACGCACAGAAGAGGTTAAAGTACAAACGTCTTGGATGGTCTGGTAATTTATAAACTGAATAGAAAGCTACAATAATTCTCCTATATTTGCATTTTAAAAAAAACTCCATTGTTCACCAACACGTCAAACACATCATAAAGGTTAGGTTCAATGACACCTAGCAGACAGCAAGCCGGTCCAACTTGTCTCTAAAATTAGACCTTTTATTAGGCAGAACTTTCAATCGTAGATATCTTTTAAATGGTAGACCTTTACAAATCATGTAACGCCCTGTACGGAAATAATTCACTGCAAAATGACCTAAAGAAAACATTTACAACAGGCTGAAAACATGTTGAAGCCTGCTGTTAAGTTGGGCTGTTTACAATGATGTCCAATGGCAATTAACTCGCTGTTGGAGTCAGACTCAAGTGGTCACCTGCTTGCTTTGGCTTCATTTCTCAGCCCACCAGGGTTTGCTTCTTTGATAGGCTTAAGCCTGGCTCACACTGCAGGATTCACACCGATTCTTCCTTCCCGACAATCGCAGGGTCCCTCCCAACTCGAGGCTGCTCGGAAACGATTATCTGCTCAGATTATCTTGTAGTGTGAGCGGTACAAAGACCCAATCTCCCCCCGATCTGCCCGGCGATTTATTTCAAACATGTTTGATATTTAGAATTCAAAATCTTGACGATTACGTCATGAAAGTGTCCGGCAGAAGTTGTGTGTGACTACAATATAATGACAAGAGACAACGGGGGACTGTAGTCATGGAGACCAGCGGCAGGACACAACCCAGCGTACAGTCGTAAACGATTCAGTCGTACAGTGTGAGCTGACATGCCACCCCGACTTTTATACAATCGGGGGAAAAATCGCACAGTGTGAACCAGGCTTTAAGCAACTCTCACGAGTTCCAAAATATTTCAGTTCAAAATAACTTCAAAGCTCAACAACAAATCTGGCCCTTCAATAAATGAATATGTTACAACAACCCAGCTGTCAACACATCCTCTCCTGTGATATTACATTAGAAATGTTTTTCTAACTAAATTGGGATGAGACTCTGTGTCTCTCTCTCTCTCTCTGGCAGTGCTACATGTGCTCTACACAGCTGTTTGTGTTTTCCTACCTGATAACACACTTAACCTTTTATTGAGTTCCTCTGCGAACAGATCTCCGTCATTATATCTGACAAAGGCGCCAGCGTACCTCAGGCAGGATACTTCACTGTGGTAATTGGGCCCTAGACGAGTAGTAGGGGGGAAAACAAAGGCTGGACAGGTAGTATAAGACCCAGCAGTGAGTCTTGACCTGGTGAGCCGCCCTCTCCCTCAGCAGGCTGCCTCAGAGTGATTACATAATCTGTAGTGTGATTAAAGAGCCGGGCCCGGACCTCTTGGGATATTATCTTGAGGATTGCACAGTAACATCCAGCCCCAGGCTCTCTTTTGCCTCTTTTCATCCCTACACTGCATAACAAGATGGAGACGGTGTGACCTGCCTCCGGGGACTGCTGTTGCTAGGCAACTGAATGCTAAATTTTGAAACCCAGTCAATTCTGTCTTTCAAGCATTAAAAGTGCAAACGAAGGCCTAAAAATAGACCGAGGGGAGAGAAAAGAGGGGGGCGGGGTGGTGATGGTGGTGGGCGAATGAATCAAAGTGATGTAAATGAGGTAAAAGGCTCATGCTGTGTGTCGCCGTCCAGGCTTGTTATGTTGTTTGTTTTGGCAGGCGAGACGGTCAGCTGAGAATAGTATTTTTCCACAGCAACCATTTTGGTGGTATTTATGGGAAAGCATCAAGAAAGAGAAGCTGGCAGGTTCTGTGACAGAAACTTTCTTCGTGCGGTCTTGGGACTTCTGTCAGGCCGGTCAAGATTGTCGATGTCGCGCAAAGAAAACATCAAGTCATGTTTTGGAAAATTTGAAGCAGAGTAAAGTTGGCTATTGCTCACTCCACATTAAAGGGGTGAAAGGCAGAGGTTAAGAGTCTGTATTTATAATCCTCCTCCCTCGCTGGGCTCATGGACATGATGATGGACACTCTTAAGACAGATGAAGCGACACGTCCAGCGTTTTTTTTGTCTTGTGTTGTGTGTGAAGACACGATGTGCAGTGTTGTTATTGATAGGCGAGCGGTTTGAAGCCCTGCTGCTGTTTCATCACACATGCATTCAAACTGCGTGAAAGGAAAGCAAATCAAAGAACAAATGCATAATTGAATTTACGTAACACACCTGGATGAAATATTAATTTTTTGATTCCTCATGAAAAATGCACGCTTGTTGCAGAGGTCTGTGTGCGTTAGTGTGTATGCGTGTGTGTGTGTGTGTTTTGAGTGTGTTTGCTCGACCCTCCCAATCGTGGTTTAGTTAGTTTGACTTTCCTCAGCGTTCCAATCGATACCCTTAGCTTGACTCCAGGAAACCCCACTGACTGTCAGATCGATACTATTTACTGCACCGCCCACTAGCCCCTTCATTCAGCCACACTGACTCCCCCCCCCCCCCCCCCCTCAGCAGATCGACTCTCAGACAACTCAGCCCCTCGTATCAGAAATTGTACCTGAGTGCAGACACTTCTAACGCTCTCTGAAAGAGTTTCTGCTACAGCTGAGCAGGATTTATTGATCTGGACTCAAATAAACTTAGAAGAAAAGATCTGACATTCTTCATTCTGTACAAAACTCAGCAACACTTCAGAAAACTGTGCAGCTCCAGATCTAAAACAAAAACTGCATTTACTACTTTCTGCTATCATCATTTACTACATGATCAAAATAACACCGACGTAAAGCAGTTACTGTTTAAAGCCTTGCTCCAGTTTGAATAGGGAGAAGTGTTTTATCATCGCCTTAAAGGTTGGCGTGGACTCAACTAAAGGCTAATAAAGTTTTATACAGCGGACACTCTGTGTGTTGAGGCATTAGGGACGATTTACACCCGGCCTCTTGGCAAACAGTATCTTATTTTAACATTAACCGCCTGGCTTTTATAGTAGTGTGGAGTTCAAGTGTTGTCCTTTTTTTTTTTTTTTTCCATCTCTTGAGTAAGTCCCCCCCCCACACACACACACACACAATTATTTTCCTCTACACTGATCATACATCTATTATTTATTATCAGTTAATTAGTATGTAACAAAGGAGAACCATTAATAAGTGTAAGTTATTAAAAAAGATGAGTATGTTCATGATGCACGAGGAAAACAAGGAGAACAAATACGTCCTGATTTCTGATACAGCCTGTGACTGACAGACCATTTATTTATGATTTGAACTCAAATCAACATTTAAACAAACGGCTCAGCATAAACATGATGAGCAAGTTTTCCACGTTGTAACTGCTTATTTTTTCAAGCCGGGGACTGTCCCTCTGTCCAATCTTTTTTTTTAATATTTAAAGTGATATAACTGTTTAGAATTTTTTCAGCAGACTCAGTTTAGTCAGTCTGAGGAAGGAGTCTCTCTTCTCTCGTTCATATCGTCTGTATAGAGGTCAGCGATCCAGTGTTCTGAACATATCGGAGACTGACGTTCTAATTTGTAGCTTTATTGTATTCACTCTCTAAACAAACATGGACACTCAGAATCAAACATTTGGGATCGTAAAGGTATCGATTCAATCACCTGCCACTCTATCAGTCGTCACATCCTCACATCTTCAACATCATGTCCAGTTCAAAAGTTGTTTAGATAGATAAAGTAAGATTTAAATATCTGAACATAATGACCACGATAAAGTGATAAGCTTCTTTAGCTTCTTTAATCAAAGAAGTCTGGATTTAATGAGAACATCTAAATATATTACATGGATCTTTGTGATGTTGTGGAGTCATTTTATATGTATCATTTTTATTTGGAAACATATATAGACATACAGAAATCCAAAGGACATGTGCTTAAACGTTATAATTTATGTTTTGAATTTAAACACACAGCCTCTTTAAGCAATGATGACTCATGTCCTCCCCTTAATGTGGAAGTTTAGTTTATAATCTATGACACCAGATGTATCAGAGACTCCATACAGTGAGTGTCAGCATCAGCTTTATTGTGGAGGAGTTTGTTGTAATATTATCAGTAAAAAGACAGAACAGTGTGGTTTTAAGTGTACAGACACTTTTACTGTCAGGGTCACCACACATCTGTCCTGACCTCTCTGCTCGACCTCTGATCACAGAACTACTCATTCTGCAAAGGTGATGGCACATCTGGCTCTAATCCACGAGGACTCAGGTGGTTGCAGATGTTTGATCATCTTTGACAAGGGGTTTTTCAGTTTCTTTGTCTTTGTGTTAGGAAATGACAACATAAGGGTGTTTGGCAAATCACAGTTCTGTCCAGTAGGCCTGAACATATATGTGTGATAAAAATGTTCAATATTGTAAATAAAGATCTGAAGTGTTTATAAGGAGAATTAAATGGTGTATAAAAGCTGTAATTCAGAGCTTTTTTATTTCTGCTGTTCTTAATGATTCACATGATACCTGTGTTTAGAACATGTTTCCCCTGAATCCAAAATTAATCCCAAAACTTTGAATTACCAATAAACTGGTTTATTAATCTGAGGGTAGCTGATTAGCTATCTTAGATCAAACTGGCTTCCTCAAGATCGCATGCAGGTTTAGCCTTTATGTCAAGGCCTTCATCCCGTAAGTAAATGTACACATGTTGACATCAAGAAAGCTTGAGTTAACATAAAACATGTTTCTTATATAGAGAGATAAATTCAGTTAACAGTCAAGTTGAGATTAATTGGTCATCCCTACTGTCCAGCAGCCTTCAGATAACCCGTCCTCTGTCTCTGTGTGTCTCTGTGTGTCTCTGTGCCCCCCCCCCCCACTCTCTCAGACCTCTCCTGAGGGTTTGCAAGGAAAAATAAATATTTTTAGACATTGAGGTCCAGAGCGGCTGTCACTTTTCTTTTTTTTTTTTTGAATCTTTCATGAACCATGGGAAACACATATTCACCTCCCCCCTTTCTCACTGTTCATGTAATCGCCCCTGCCTTCAGATTTCTTCTGCCACCCATGGAAAAAAAAAAAAAAGGCAAGCCCCCAGGGAGAGGGTCGCCATAGCAACAGCCTTCACCAGAGCAACTCCTCAAAGCATCCATCTTCCCATTCAGGGTGCATCTATTGTGGGATAAGATGACAGAAAGTTTGAACGCTGTAATGCCTACATATATTGAAAGTACGACATTATTATTAAAATAATTTAAAAAAACTTGTTTTCTTACTCTTTTTTTTTTCCTCTTTGAAAAAAAAAACTTTTTTATGTCGTGTATCCTTTTTTCCCGTCATTGCAATGTGAACAGATGGATAGAAATGCCTCGAGGAAATTACAATTGAAACTACACGATGTCTTTGATGGTAAAGTTTTAGTTGGTGGGCCAAAAAGAACGAGTTGACTCATTACAGAGGAATGCTAAATGAGTTGTTTGTGGTGGATGTGGAATTTATTGTATTTGAGTGGAAATATGCATGTTTTTTTTCTTTCCGTCTTCATGAATCATCTGAATCTTTTGAGATGTGCAGTTGATGTGTAAATTGTTTATTATTTACTCTAAGAGATGAAAATTGAATATGAATCAAATAAGCAAAACAAAAGACTTTTCCTGAGTTTGACAGGAGAAAAGAAGTCTCACAAACTCACTTGTAGGCCTTGAAAGTGTTGCACAATAAGCAGCACATCGAGCATCCAGAAAGGCAATCCGAAACCATGTGCTGCTCTCTGGCATGGACACAAATGTGTAAACAAATACGAGACAAATATTTACATTTTCCAGCTGAACATAGCCAAATAATGCTCTTCTCCTCCTCAGGCGCATGTGACCTTCTCTTCTTCCTCTCTAACACCTCAGAGTCAAGGATTTTATCACCCGTCCCCGCTCACATGAGATCTCTTGATTCATGCACCCTGGTGTTCAGATAGCAGTCAGCCGTGGTGCAGCGTGCACGCCGACGACTGTACTCATTGTCTGCATGTCAACCCACTGTTGTCTCACACAGCACAAGAGCTATTAATAGCTCCACCCTCCCCTGTAGTTTGAATTGGCTGGGCTCAGAGTTGTAAATTGGCAATGTACCCCAGTCTCCTCCACGCTCTGTGTTCTAACGGCAGGGGAATACAGAGAGGCCGAGCCGGCATTATCTGTTTTTTTTTCTTCTTCTTCTTTAAATCTCTGAACTCGAAGAAGGAAGCAGCTGCAAGTTTCACTTCCTGTCTCAGTCTTCACTGCAACACAACCAGTGTGTCTCCATGATGATGTTGTGGGTTTACCTTTTCTAAAAAAGAAAAATGCTGACACCAATAAAGTCACTCAGGGTTTGAACCAGTGTTTTTTCTGTGTATCTTTATAAATCAATTTGAAGTGAATGGATGTAAATAGATGCTAATAACAAGACTGAACAACAGAACTCATAATCAAGATGAACAAATGTAGTTTATGTAACTTATTCCCCCGAATTCTGGCTGTTGTTTTTTTACGCCTCATTTACAAATGTGATGTTGCAGCTGGCAGAATTTTACTCTGTTTGATAGAAAATTAAAAAGAAATGTATGTTTTCGTTGGGGACGTGCTTGTCATCTTGTCTACCTTCTCTGCAGCCATCCACGAGTTTCCAGAGGACATTTTCACCAAGGAGCAGAGAAAGAAGGGAGCTGTGTTACTGCATGTACTATGTGTGGGTATTTCACACTCAATCACCTGAAACCACTTCATCGACTCACCACACTGAGATATGACTATTTTTAGCTGAAGCCAAATATGTTTAAAGGAACATTTATTTGATGAGAAATTCAGGGTGTTTCTGTTTTTCTTCTTCTTCTTCTTCGTTGTTCTCTCCAGGCCATCTACATGTTCTACGCTCTGGCCATCGTTTGTGACGACTACTTTGTCCCCTCCCTCGAGAAAATATCTGAGGTGAGGGAACAGCAGCAACCAGAACTCAGAGCAGTTGAAGAGATCATTGGTTTAGTGTCAATTTAATCTGGTGGTTTTGTGATTTCCTTTTCAGAACCTGCAGCTCAGTGAAGATGTGGCCGGGGCGACATTTATGGCTGCAGGAAGCTCTGCTCCAGAGCTTTTCACCTCTCTCATTGGTTAGTGCCTGAGCCAATCAGGGCCAAGCGACAGTTGTGGAAGTTTTGGGGAAGCATGCCCAAAACAAATGATTCACTTTTTTCCGACCTTTATTTGGAATTTTAACTAGTTCTCTCAGGGTCTGCAGTACCACAATCATCCAGGAGATGTCAGCAGAGTGTAACTTTAAATCTTTGAAGGGATTTCCTCTAATTTGAGGCATTTTCTTGGAGATTAGAGCCTCCAAATCTAGGTCTAGCTGATGTGAGTTTCTCTCTGAGTTTGCATGTGAAAAGTAAATAAAAAGGAGCCCACAGACACAGACAGGAAATGACTCCCACTCCACAGACTGAGTCCCATTTAAACAACAAAACAAAGCCAGATTCTAAAAGCACACTTGACTTCCTCTACACCTCTCCCTCAGGTGTCTTCATCACTAAAGGGGACGTCGGAGTTGGTACCATCGTGGGCTCAGCTGTCTTTAACATCCTGGTCATCATCGGCCTGAGTGGGATCTTTGCTGGACAGGTAGGAGAAACTTACAGAAATACGCTCATGCAGCCGTTTCTGTTCGATAATTGAACCCTGACACCTGTGACTTCTCTCTGCAGACGGTGGTTCTGACATGGTGGTCCCTTTTCAGAGACTCCTCCTACTACATCCTCTCTGTGTTGGCTCTCATCATGGTGAGATGATGTGCTTTTCATCCAAATAATCAGCCCAATTAAGATTTTAAAGGCTCCTACATTGTTAAAGAATCTGCTTTGTTTCTTTCTAGGTTATCTATGATGCCATAGTTGTCTGGTGAGTACAAAGACGTTTAAAAAAAAAGCAAAAACTAAAATTGAGTCAATAATGTAAGCTTTATTGTTTTCTGTTATTTACATTTCTGGTTGTTTTCCGTAGATCTCAACTTTTTTTTTATGTCATATGCTGCTGAATTTACCTCTAAAGTGTAGGTAACGGCAGCATGTTGGGTCTGGCTTATAATCTCTGGCCTAGATCTCCAGAAAACAAGCTTTGTTATCTTGAGATAGTGAGAAAATGAATCCATTCTAATGGGAAATGATGAGAAAAATACTCTGAAATCTTGACAACACAACAAGAATGACTCGTTATCACAGGAAAAAGGAGTAAATCAAATGTATGGATGCATGTCTGCTTAGGGCTTCTGTACAACATTTAAGTTAATAGGTTAATTATTCCCATAAACAACATTTCATTTCGACTTCTCCTTGCTCATCTTAGATCGAAACCCTCCAGTTTTTATTTAGTATTCATACTGACACACATCTGCAGATTCCTGCTTTTACGACCCTAAACATGTAGGAGTCAACAAGTTCAACATCACTCTCACTCGATCAAGATCAAGAGATTGATTCCTCGTTCTGATTTCAGTCAGTCAAGGTGACAGGGAACATGGTACATTTAGATGTGTTTAATTTGTTTGGAGGAGGTCCCGGTCATTAGTAGCAGCCACATGTGTTATTCAGTGCTTTGAGGCATTTGGACTGATTTGTACAAAAGCCCTAAGTAGACATGCATCCAAACGTTTTGTTTACTCCATAAGTATATTTCTTTTTTTCTCCTTGAGATCCCCACTTGTTTCTCTCATGATCTCTGGATAGATAAACTGGTTTTCTCATTGTAACAGACTCATTTATCATATTATTCTGTGATGGTGTGATAGATTTCTGGTGCTCTACAAATTAAAAGGCTTTGGTGGGATAATGTGATAGGCCAGACCTCCATGCTGCCATTGCCCACACTAAAGAGTTAAGTTCAGCCTATTCCTGTTTTTGTTTTGTGCTTTTGCAATCCTGAGAATACAAGAGAAATAAGTCGGGATCATGAGAAACTCGAGAAAATGACTCGTTATCACAGTTAAACACAGCAAATGTATTGAATGCAGGGGGGCTTAGGGCCTCTGTTGATGTGGACATGTGTGTTTATTTTTGTGTTTAGTGTAGCAACAGGCTCATTTAGTGCTCTCAACACCCTCTTACTGTAGCTTCTCAGCTGTCTCTCCTGAATGTAAAAAGAAGGCTGTCCATTGTTGTACGTGTCGGTGCTTTTAATGAAAGAGTGGATTTATTCATGTTCTTAATGTCAGCTTTAGCACGAGGATCCCTGGGTGATATATGGGAGTCTATTAATTGAATCATCGTGTGCCAAGCGATGTCTAGCGTATTTCACTTCTTCCTTTGAATACAAAGAGTCTGTTTCTCCTCCAATGACTGCACGCTCAGAACATGTGAGCCTCCAGTCTTCACATGTGCAGCAGAGGTCAGTGTGGGCTCAGAGGAACAGCTGCTGATGAGCTTGGAGTGTTTCAGGAGTACACAGTGGTGTTTCTATTTGCCTTCTTTTTTGTTATCTTAGTGCTGAGTTTGAGTTTCATTAGGAGGTCTGTAGAGGACGCAGCATCAAGCTAAACTTAGTCTCACATGTGGAGTTTTTCTCTTTAACCTTTCAGGTTCATGAATAAATCAGAAAGTTAAGTTAAAGTTCATGATAATAATTTTATAATTTATTAATTTTGATAATAATTTTGACAATTTTGATTCAATATATAAGATTTAAAAATGGATCCATCAAGACAGTGTGGGTGTGGTTTGTTCAGTATAGACGCATGGTGCGCATATCAAACTGTTCTTTCATTCAAATGTTTTGAATTAGAATTTTAATTAGTTTGAGTCTATGACACCTTCAAATATAACCCACTCACCTTTAAACAAAGTTATGATTCAAACATGACTACAGAAATGTGTCGTGTGATATAACAGACCTTAATTTACTTGGATTAAACAAAAAAAAAAAGTTTACTTTGTAAAGTAAAAAAAGTAAAAAAAATCTGTTACTTTGTAGTTTTTATTTTGAATCGTGGTTCACTTCTGTTCCAACCACCAACTTTTCCAACTTGATGTGTTTCTTTCTTTGCAGGTGGGAGGCCTTGCTCCTCATGACCATGTATGGAATCTATATCATCATCATGAAGTAAGTGCTTCAATGTCTGCACACTGTACAGAAGTCTGACTGTGTACAGATGTGAGAATAAATGAATCCGTTTGCGCACAGGTTCAACTCCCGGATAAGGTCGTTTGTGATGCGTCAGCTCAGGAGCTCCAGACCGTGCTGCCACGGGTCAGAGGGTCACCGAGACGACAAGATGGGAGAGGATGCCTCCGCCTGCAACACCTCCATGGTGCTCATCAACAAAGGTTAGAGGAACGTAGAGTAAACTTTTCTTCTATGCTGTTTTATATCTGATCATGTGCCTCTTTGTAAATTGTGCCTTATGTTAAAGAAATCTAATGGTCCATGTGTTCCACCTTTCAAAGGCCAAGCTAATGGTCAGGATCCTCCTCCGGTCATCATGGTAGATGAGCTTCTCATTCTCAACCCCCACAAGTTGTCGTTTTCTGAGGCCGGCCTGCGCATCATGATCACCCCTCACTTCTCCCCCCGCACCAGACTCTCCATGGCAGGACGCGTGCTCATCAGCGAGGTAGATGAAAGACTTAACAGTCGTCATTGTCGTCACCCATTGGTTTCTGAAGAGGTGCCATGAAGCCCAAGCTCAACAACGGTGGTCACCATATTGGAAATACTTCTCTCTCTCTCCTCCTTTCCACAGAGACAGAGGTTGCTCCAGAGGTCAAAGAGCCAGCAGGACGGCGAAGCCAGCGCCGGGTCGACCAGCAACAGCCTGAAGAGGACGGGCTCCTGCAGCCTGGAGAACGGAGGCAGAGGACACGGGATGGGAGACACAGAGTCAGGAGACAAACCTGGGGTTGGGGAAAGCCAGGCAGAGGAAGAGGATGATGACGAAGATGGTATTTTCAGCCCAGTGCGTATACCAGGTGAGGAAGCACCAGCGAGTAGAATTAACTACTGTTGACTTTCTTGTTGTTACTGTGTGGGCATCTGTCATTTATAAAAATGGATCGTCTGCATACAACAAGAGTCGATGCCCTGATCAAATCTGTACTCCACACAGGAAGCTGCTGTGCGCGTGTGAGGTGGGTGATCACATGGCCTCTCGGTCTCCTGCTCTACTGCACTGTGCCTAACTGTATTCTGCCCCGCTGGCACCGCTGGTTCATGGTCACCTTTGCTGCCTCCACCCTGTGGATCGCCATCTTCTCCTACCTCATGGTGTGGATGGTAAGGAATCTTAAAATGCTCCCTTCTTGAACGTTGTGAATGATTTTTTTAAAAAGGCTCTCTACAGCTGACTTTTTTTTTTAACCCTGATGCATTGTGTTTGTGTGTTATGTTTCAGGTCACCATTATCAGCTATACACTTGACATCCCCGACTACATCATGGGCATAACCTTCCTGGCTGCAGGGACCAGCGTGCCAGACTGCATGGCAAGTCTGATTGTAGCTCGACAAGGTACAGAGCTTTATTCTGAATCTTATACTCAAGGCTTTTGTCTTCTCTGTCTTTGCTTAGGTGCATTCAGCATTCCTCCTTTACTTTTCCCCTCTCTCTTTCAGGCATGGGGGACATGGCAGTTTCTAACTCCATAGGCAGCAATATCTTTGACATCCTGCTGGGTTTAGGGTTCCCCTGGGCTTTGCGTATCCTTGTGGTGGACCACGGATCCACAGTATGCTAACACTTTATCTTCCTTAATCTTCCTTTTGTGTGTGATTTTCATAATTTACTGATGTTTGCACGCGTGCGAGAAAGCTATCGAAGTCTTAATTTCATAGACTTTAAGTCACCTCTCTCTTTTTGTCTACCCGCAGGTCTCGATAAATAACAAGGGCCTGGTGTATTCTGTCATCCTGCTGCTGGCTTCTGTATTTCTGACTGTAAGGAAAGTAGTTTTAAGATTGAAAAAAAAAAAAACTCTTTTGTTTAAGTTAGCATCTAGCTAGCTGTCACTGTGAATCCAAATGAATACTAAAGTTGCTCCTTGACTCCTGCGGAAATGTTTTAGTAGCACACTCTTCCTACTTTTATGATAAGTCAGTAGCCTTTTTATACATGCACTGGACTCTCTGGGCTGAATGTGTGAATGCAAACAGAAACAATTTCCCCCCCGACTTAGTCCCGACTTTTTCCTGCCAGCAAGATTTCTGCAAAAATTCAGGGTGAGCTCATATGAGAATACAGCAGGTACTAGTGTGGAAAATTCACTGCGAGGGATTTGGAAGGGGTGATGACGTCTGCATCATGAGAGAGATGTGAAACCAACAGGATCTTTGTGCACCTGATGGCCCTGCAAATGTTGTTAATTCATGTCTATAAATAATTTTAACCGCGAAAGAAACGTTATCACCGCGTTGTCACATTCCCTTCCTCACACCCGCCCGTCTCTCTGTTCTCAGGTGACGAGTGTTCATCTGAACCACTGGAAGCTGGATCGCCGGCTGGGTCTGGGTCTCTTGTTTCTCTATGCCATCTTCCTGCTCTGCTCCATCTTCTTCGGGCAGATGTGAAGCCTTCGTCACAGTTCAACCCTAGTCACATCAGTACCCACTTTTTTGTTTAACAAGTCCTCTTTCATGAAGCCTAAAGAATAGAGTGACACCAGTGTGCTGCTGTACACGACCACACGCCAAGTCTTTTATCAATAGCACGTTTTTTCCCTCCATTCCATACAGGGCCGTGTTAGAAGCAGCACTTCAAAGTATTCAATTGGTTGACTGCTATAAGATAAAATGACAAGGCAGATAGAAGTGACATCAACAACATAAATATGACTTTTAAAAAAATAATCTAGCTGGTCTTCATTAGCTCGATTGTTTCAGAGATGATATTGAAATGGCCCTCTAGTAATAATTGTAAACTGTAATTTATTTCACTTTTAATGCAATAACCACGTTGGATTAAATTATTCTTTCAGTTTTATTCGATTATGTTGGATAGGATTTTTTTTTCTGCCCAAAGCTCCAGTTAGTTAGCTCACCAGCAAAGTAGCTAGCACGCTACAGATCTCAACCGCTTGTGCTTCATAATTTTTTCAATAAACGATAAAGCAATAAGCCAATATAGGTTTTGACATACAGGGGTTCTGTACTTTAAAATGTCTAAAAGCAAACACACTCCCTATTTCCTGTTCACAAACATTGATTATGCACATCAGATGTCCTCTTAATAAACCATGCAGTGAGAATGAGTGAGGGATGAAAGAGCTGCAGGGGCAGGAAGCAGCGAAAACACAGACGCAACTTCTTTTTTCTTTTTCTTTTGAAAGCAGCTGCAAGCAGAGCAAAGTAATAACGGGACCTCTTTCTTGTTGATTCCATTAACAACCTGCAAACACCTGAACCAACCTGCACCTTGTGTCCACAGCGTCATTATCAGTTTGTTAGGAGTGGACCGGTGTTGTTTGTTTCTGGAAACACTCGCTGCGCAGCACAGCATGCACAGGCTGCAGACAGTAGCAGGTATTACTTTCAGCAAGGGGACATTAGTGTTAAAAAAAAAGAGAAGAGATAACCACCATGTTACAGAATAAAGGAAATAAACTTCAGAATGGGATTAAGTCACGGACCAGACAGAATGTTCTGTTCATCAGATTTAGCAAATTAATAATGGATTTGTGAATTTTGTAAATATTTATATGTAATTTACTTGTTACCATGGTTTCAGAGGCCAATTTTAAAATAAAAACATGGAACTGGTTAAGACAAATCTTTACTCTGCCATGTCATGCTTTGGCCTGTTGTTAGATTATAAACACTGTCTGTTGGCCTTACGTGTATTTGAATGTACATCCCAGCTGACCTAGCGTCAGTGTGGAGATATTTACATGCATTCAAATGTTGCAGGCAGCACTGAAATACAGCGATAAGTGAGCTGCTGTAGGACACTGTGTGTGTGTGTGTGTGTGTGTGTGTGTCAGAAGACTTTTAGACTACACTGATAAGAAAATGCACATGGTGATTCTGTTTTGATGATTTTGCCTCACAGTTTATGAGCAAGTATTGGTACAGCTAATGTACGTAAAGAGATTAACTAGTGTTACAGTATTTTTAGAGAACTTCTAACTATGAAATCTAATATATATCATGTTCTTCTTTGAGTGTCACATACTTTAATGACTCCGAGTGCAGGTTTGTAGTAATAGTTCACGTTTAGGTACGACAGTCGATGTTTGTTTTGTTTCTTGTACGTTTTATGGAACAAGTTTCCTTTGGTGGAATATTTTCTCTCTCTCTCTCTCAGATCAGCAAAGAGCCAGCACGTTATGTCCTCACATGAACTGTATCTGTGTGTCTGGTTTGGCAAAATATGCTGCTTTTCCATCTATACATATATCTTCTTTTCTTCTGTCCGTACATGAAATTTAGAAATGTGGACACTTTCAGACAACAGGATGAAGTGAAGACTAAATATTCCACAAAAGGGCAATATTTTTGTTTTTTCAAATGGCTGTATAATTATCATCATTGTCGACTTGACAACATTTTTTTTTACTGTTTGTAAGTGTTCAATTTACAGTTTTACAATAATGAATGTCTGAAAGAGACTCGTTTTGTGGTGTTTTGATTCTTTTAGAATATACTTAACGTATTGCCTTTCAGTGAATAATTGTAGCAGAATGAATGCATCGTTTGTCAGATTGTTCAGTGACAGCTGTAATTGTGTGAGAGGAGCACATCGTGTGCTACCAGTTTAACGCTAGTTGTGTCTTAAAATCTTTTCAGCTCTAAGATTTTCTTCTATTTAAGTATTGCTTCATTGAAAAACTCAACCTGATTTCATGGAAGAGAACACGTGGACAATGAAGCTCAAGTTTACAGTTTAAAACGAGTAAAAAAAATGTTTTTCAGAAAGGCTAGAATATTTAAATGCAGTCTTTTACTAGTGTTATTTAGTTTTCACCTCAAACTTTCTGGGTTTGTTGAAAATGATCACCCTATCTTACATTTTCAATCTTCTTCTAATTTATTTTGTCATGAATGTACATAATAGACAGAGTGCTGTTTCTGATCAAAAGGTTCATCATTCTATTTTAATAAGCACTCAATTGAAAACATCTAATCTTAAGACCTTTGCCAGTGTTTCAAGCACTTACACGCCTCACCAGAAATGGTAATCTGAAGTCATCATTCAGTAAGTGGATGACTGGTGTATTGTTAAAAAGTCAGGCCTAAAAAATAGAAAATGGGGAAAATTATCCAATAAATTCCTGTGCCCTAAAAAGAAATGTATCCAGGATAAACTAGTTCAGTCGAAAATCATTAAACAGCCTTTCTTGAAATCAACTAATTCTTGAGTCCAAATTCCAAAGTTAGAGCTTCTTAAATGTGAGTCTGTGCCCGTCTTTCTTTCTGGGATTGCTCATGGAGCCGCTGTATCCCTCTAGAAATAAAGACGTCATCACTTTTAACTGGCTGACGAATCAAATGGAAATTAATCAGAAATTTAAAAAACATTGTAAAAAACATGTTTTTCCCTACTCTTAATTTTGCATTTTGTTTTGGCATCCTTTAAGGTTCACCATCACCATCTTGATCCAGTTAAACTTAACCAGCATCTTAGTTTTGGAGATGTGATGAATATTGTGATGCTAACATGCTCTTTCACTCAGCTGTTGGAAGCCTCTGCTTAAAGCTCTTGTCATTAAGATGTAGAAATAATCTTATTATACTTGTCATGAATACAGCTGATCTGCGGTACATGTGTTTGCACAGTGGTCAATGAATGTTCTGTTTATTCTGCTGTGATGTTTGAGGTAGAATGTTTTTAGAGTTTTAAAATTTATATCTTAGAGCTCTTATGGGATCATAGAAGACTGTTGTATCTTGAGTCCAATAAAAAAAACTGTGCAATAACAACTCAACTCTTCTGTTTTCTGTTGGCAGAATGATAGTGAATGAGAGACATGCAGCTGTAGGAGGACGGTTAAATGATTAGAAAGAGGGCGTTGGTTGGTCCATGACCGCCATCCATCAAATGGAGTAAGACAGAAAAACCCTGCAATTCCTCGGCATATCATAACTTAAAAATACTTAAAAGTTTCATAGGTTTGTTCATAGAATCTCTTTCTGAGGGGTATCTATAATTTTTCACATTAATAATACATAAACCTAACTGTCTGACATTAAGTATAATGTAGTGTTTGTCACATTTTTGATCTGTTAGGTGTGTGATGGTAAAAGTAAATTAGTTTAGTATAACCTCTACATCAATAAGTGGCGTTTGGGAAGCTTTTTTTTTGTAAAAACTGTATTTTTAAATGGCAGTTGAGCTACAGCGAGTGCAAGAAACACATTTAAAACTTTGATCACTAGATGGTGCCGATTACTGATTACTAGAAACTAGATGGCGAACAGTAGATGACCCAGAATGGAGCCCTGAGGAACTCCATGTCAAAAAATTTTATTATAAGGGAACGCACAATTAAATCAGTTAGTCAGAGTTCTGCACATTATCCCATCAACAAAACAGTCTTTTCAGTGTGCTTGCAAGAGATATTTTTATCCGAACCCATCAATAATTCATTCAAATTCTGTTGTGAAATGGCAACAGAGACAGACAGGAAAACCGAGTATAGTGCCTAGTAGTTTATTTTCCTGAAGACAAATTGCTTACAAATAAACATTCCATCACAATTCAAATCAAATTCCACCCAAAGAGAGTTCACCTAATCTGTAAACCTATGATCTTTCTTTAAACTCTATGAACCATTCTCTCACAAAGCTGGAGACTGATGAACCATAAAGGGATATTAGAAATATAATTTGACAACAACAGATGGACTCCCCTTTTTTTATGGCTTTGCTCTGAGTAAAGGCTTGAAGTTGGATGCTGGCTTCATCATTACTGAACCAGTCAGTGTCACAGGTGCAAATCCACTATTTGCCTCTTAATCACATTATGGGCTTTGCTTCTCGTTTCAAGCTTTGGAAGAGAGCGGCTCAGTCGAGAACTGGATCATGGGATTAACTAGAAAGCAACATCCACTTAAGTCCCAAAATGTCCCACACATCAAGTACGCAAACATCATCCATGAATAGAAAACAACCAGCAAAATATTCTAGTAGCCACTGTCTCTAAAGAACTAAGTTTAAAAGTGATGAGAAAATAAACCAAGTTATACTTGTGTAATGCTTTAGTAATTATTAGTTGGCTATAGAAACAACATGATAGCATGGTTAATTTATATTACACCACATCCCATCACCTCTGCTGACCTAATGCTGAGACGACCACATAGTATAAGAAAGTGCAGACAATTACTGAGCATGCACTTGTTTAACAGTAGAGTTTGCAGTTATTCAAGCAGACACTGCACATTTCATAAGGATTCATTGCGCTGCCTTTGTCCCATCTATCAACAGCATCACTCGATCCCTTAAATACTGTTTCTTTTTGAGGTATAGTAACTGCTTAAGCAGTTCAGTTAGACTTTTTTCTTGTAGCCTTGCCGCAGAAGGAAACCATTGCATAATAAAACTACGCAAGCAGTAACAAAGAGAGCCGGTTCTCCATAGGACTATATATAAACACATTTTAATCTCTTTATAACAATATGGAGCTATCTATGATTGCTGCCACAGTCCTCAATCTGTTATAGAATATTTTGGAGAGAGAAAATTTACAGTATCGCACATTATCTGCCAACAGAGCCTAAAGTGACTCTGCCATCAGTCCCTGTCATCCCAGCATCCTACAGGAGCCCTTGTATTGCTTTAACATTGTCACCAAAGGACTATCGGCAAGGTCCAATAGAACTCGGTTACATTAAATAAATCTAGTGGTGTCAAAACATTAACAGATATTGGATATGGTGCATGATCATCAAACTGCTAGAACACAGCAATAAAGGTATTTTATCCCCTTTAACTGTCTGATAATACAAATAGGACTTGTTTTTCATTTGACTGGAATAACGATTATCATCACATTATCATTTATGTCAAACAAAGGCCAGGTGTGCAGATCTGCTTTGTGTCTCTACAGTCTTGAGGACCAGGGTGAAAAGACAGTTATGTCATAAAGACCCCAAAGCCAAAATGAAAAATGCCTAAAGCCGACTTCTTGATCTCTGTACAGCTGGATAAGCCGCAAGTCAAACCTGACATCCCTAAAATTCCTTCGGCCTTGCCTTACATGATGGTGTCCAGTGGCAGTGGATGAGATAAAAACCATTTACAGTCTCAGCAGATCCCTTTGACTCTATCAAGTGAATCACTTAATTTCACTAGCGCCATAGAAGAACATGTGGTTTTATATAGTTTTTTCATAGTAAGATGGGAACCAATAAAAGATCATATCATGACCCATCTTCTATCCAATTTGTACATACTTCATACTATTATAGACCATAGAAATATATAAATATTATAAAATGTCTCTTTTTTTGATAGCAAGCAGAGGCATGCTACTTTATTCCAAGCTCTATTTCTGCTCTAGTCATAAAATCAGTACATTGCGAAAAAAAAGAGACCAGCTTTTAGCAACTCTTTGTAGGCGTATGTGTAAAACACTAAACAGAAAGGAACATTTTGGCTTAATATGCTTTGTATCTTGTTGAAATTTAGTACTGCTCAAGTTGTGTAGCAAAGACGGTTACAATAAAAAGTGATGAGTCTGAATCCGAGCTTGGAACTGTGCAACAGTCATATCTAAACTAAGTGAGGCCAGTTTGGTAAGGGATACTTCCCTTTTCACACGAACTGTCTGTTCTGAACACACTCCCTCCCTGGTCAGCTCGTCAGGCGAGTTTGTCATCTATCTTTCAGGGTAAACATAAACTGCCGCCGGGGACGGTTGAGTGATGAGTTGGGGATTGGGGGGGGGGGGGGGGGGGCGATCATCACGACTGTGGGGCGTTCTGGTATATGGATGCCTTGTCTTTTAAGAGGTCCAGACATAGATGACAGCTCCAGCTCCCTGAAGGACAAATAAAATAAAATCCATCAATGTCAGAGAGGCTGAAAGATGCATTTCCATAGGCCAAACAACTTATTAAAGAAAGCCATGCTACAAGTGTGGCTGGATGTTGACCATTTTTCTTGATGATAGAAATGGGTGTGTAACACTGAGTCTCAACAACACTATTACCTTTCTTTGTCGGCATCAAATGTTTTTATGAAATGTATTTAACAGAAAGGTTGCAGAGAGGTTTGACATGCACTACACCCCCGAAAATGTCCCTTAATTTTCCATTCATGTGTGAAACAGCTGACTTATTTATATAAAAATTGTGTTGTTGTGTATGTTTGAAAAGAATCTTATGCTCCTTAAATCAAAGTATCCCAAACCCACTTTTTGCAAAATCAGATTAGTGATTATGGTTATGTAGGCCGTTATGTGGAGAACTTACCCTCTGGAGGTTCTGCCATGGGTGGGTTGAGACAGTACATGTGATATCCTCTGTCACAGTCGTCACAGAACAGAAGCTGATCCTGAAACAAATGGGGAAAGAACAATTCAGCATTTTGTGTGAATGACACCACTTGTTTTTTTTTTTTTGAATGTAGGTATGCTCACGTCGTTCTCGGAGGTGCCGCACATGTTGCAGCACTTGCACTCTATGCACTGCCAGCGGTACGTCTTTACTGCGGCCATCATTACAGGAGTGAACTGCAGGCAGGAGGGATGCCCTGCATGTAGAATAATGACGTCTTTCACTTTGCTGAAAATGTTTCTACACCGTCAGCGGCATGAATCATCAGTTTTATTCCTGTGCTGTGTGGATCCAACATACCTGAGCGCCCACAGTCGGAGCAGGACACCAGCTCTTCTGATTGGCCAGTCTTGTGATTGGTTTTGGAGTCTCCAAGGCAGAAATCACAGTAATTATTAGGCAATGCGATACCATCTGGACCTTTCTTTGGGGCTGAGAAGAGAGAAAAAAAAGATAACACGTCCACAGAGAATCAGATTTCAGCTTCTCATTAGTCCAGCTCTACTCTGAACTCATGGTGAAATGTAGAAAAATGCTCGCTTACTTTTGGGCTCATTAGGCAGTGGCAGGGCAGGCTCGTTGATCTCCACCTCTTCCTTCTCCTCGCCCTCCTCCTCAGCCAGGTGGGAGTGGGTGTAGTGGTAGCTCAGGCCTGGACGGTTCTTGTAGCGCTTCCCACAAACTGCCACCAAAACCAGAAAACACAACGGATATGACAACAAGGAACAAATTAATAAAATTCAGGGTCAGTGGTGAAAGGGGGTGTAGAGTTATGGAGGCTTTGACTAATTCATTTCCTGCCGTCACTCCTCACCCAAAGACATCAACAGTACAGGAAATGACATATGGCATCACGTCTTCGGTGCCATTTTTGTGTTAGCCATGTTTTAAAGTACAGCATTTGGATAACATCTCTGCTTTGGACTTAGTAAATGAGACGACAGCAAAGGTGGGAGTTTTTAAAACAACTGTTCTAACTACTTCATCTAAGACAAGCACTACCCTAGCAGTGTTTGACTACTAACCCATTCACACATGTACAAAACTCGTGCAAATTTCCTGGATGGGCAGCATGCATTAACGCAAATGGCCAGTTTTCAACACGATCTTATCTGGAATTATTCCTGAAGCTTCCTAGTCAAATTTCCTCAAAGGGTGCTGGTATGAGCCGATGTGTGTGAAACAGCAAGTTAGTGGGCAGCCTGAAGATGTTTATATCGGACGGGTTTGATCTTTGTATACGTAATGAAGCTGCTTCATACTCTTTTCTGCTCACCTGTAAGTTCTTTTCCACTCTTTTGTTTACTATGACTACAATAAATTACATGAAGCACTGTTATAAAAGACTGGAAGACTGAGTGATGTGAGATCCCAACGCGAAGTGCTCAAAGGAGACTTCTTGTTAATGAAAAGGGTAAATCA